CGCCTCTCTGCTGTGTAACAAGTTTTTCTTTAATTAAACATGCATCACAATGACGCACCAGATTGATGTGGTGTTTCCTATTGTCACTGAACCACTCCAACTTGCTATTGTTTGCTATTGTTTCTACAGTTCAGAAATTCAACAGCTATGTCCTGTTGAGGCATTTCTAAAACCAGGAACAAAAAAAGGCGCATTAGCTGGAAACTATTTTCCTTGATGGAGTATTTGGTGTTTGGTGGAACTGGGAGAGGCTGACATACAATAAACTACAACTGAATAAAAGGCATTAATGAATTCCTGAAAAATACAACATTTTAAACTAAAATATATCATTATTTCCTCCAATTTTACCTTATTTCAGCTATTTTCTTATAGTATGTGTTGATTGTTTTGTGTGCAGTAACACAGTACGTGCCCATCATTTATATTTTATCTATAAAAAAACAAATTTAATGCACAGAAAGAATAACCAGACACCATCTTTTAAAGGACATCAGACAGCTGAAACAATGCAAAGCCATGGCCCTGTTTGGTCTACTTTCAGAGCACTTATAGAGGTCGCCATCTGTGTAATCTTTGTAGCTTATAATCCATAAAATAAACAGATCATGATAATAACTGAGGATTTGTAAGCAGCTGCTTGAATGCTCGGGTTCACTGGAAGACTAAAAAAACTATCAACAGGAAGCACAAAACCACATCAGAGGGTCAGGGTTTTCTGTTTCACAAACAGTGCGACTGCATGTATGTCATGGCTGTAACGGAGAAACATGCACATACTACACTGAGAGCAGAGTTTCGGTGCCCCATTAATGCTCTATTGTTAACGCTGTAATTGTGTGTCTCTCAGCAGAGACATCCGCATCTTATTTATAACAGACAAGTTGGTCTTTATCTGTTTTCTGTGATTTCTATAAACGCTGTCATTCTCTGCTGCTGGCCAGTTCCACTCTGTTAAGCCTAAACTCTCCACGTCTTTGATCCTGTTGTTTGTGATTGCTCCTGTAAGCTGCTTTAGCTGGTAAATGTTTACTGACTGTTAAATGGCTGCGATAATGTGGAGGAACCTCTTTAACACTGAAGCTTGTTGAGTAAAGCAAAGTTTTGGGGAGCTTCAGGCATCTTCAAGCTTCAGCCTGCTGATTGGTTGGGCTTCTTCTGTGTTCCTACAAGGAGTCTGCAAGCTTTCCTGACGGGTTTCTCCCACAGTCCAAACAGATACGTGTTTGGTGACCTGGTTATTCTAAACTGAGATGAATAATTGCAGATTTTTTTTCCTAGCACAACTGCAAGAAAGAAATGGACTATTTTGCCTGCAGGATCATTTTTCACACACACAAAAAAAGTCACTGCTCCCCCCCCCCACACACACACACACACCCACTCAAAGTGTCACAGTCGTCTTGTGTTCAGTGCAGTATCCTCATCTGCTGGCTTACACTCAAATTATCCACTGAGACCTTTCGTGACTGGGCACCGCGGTGGTTAGCACTGTTACCTCACAGCAAGCAGGTCCTTGTTTCAAATCCACGGGGTCTTTCTGTGTGGCGTTTGCAGTTCCTGCTTGTTTCTGTTCCACTGCGTCACAGAGATTAAACTGGTGAAACGTTGCTCTTGAATGCAATCATGCTCTCAGTTAAAGAATAATTCTGAACAACATCAGAGTTGATGGCGTAAAACTGATTTGGATGCAGTTTTAACAGAGCTTTTTTTTTCATACTTAAAAATGTCATGTGGATATCTTCTGTTCTTATGACGTTACAAAAAAATTATGAAAATTATTTCTTGGTATGAAGGTAAAATTTTGCATGGCTTCAATAAATACACTAAAGGTATTGTACAGAAAAAAAGCAACAGATTCTGAGGGACTTTTTCTAGATTTGGTTTATTTTATTTTGAATTAACGTACAGTGATTTGCCATTTAAAAAAAACACATCAATTCATGTGCAGGCCAAGTTTCGGTTTCAGTCTGGTCAAACTGTCACGCCGCGCTAGCCCTGTTTAGTCAGTATACAGCTAATTCACTGGAGGTCTCCATCTCCTGAGAGCGTAACACACCCACAGTTTAATATTTTTGGGTTTGATACACTTTCCATGATTGCCTCGCTGTTATGTATCTAGGTTAACAGCAGGATGTACTCACAAACACAGCCAGATTTTACCAGAAATCTGGAGTGTATGTGGTTTACATCTTTCTATTTTCACTCATTTACTAAGAAAAGCTCATGTATAGCTATGGCCTCAGCCCACCACAAGCCTTTGACCTGATTTCCCTTCCTGGGAAATGGATTTGGTGAATTCTGTATCTGTGTTGAAGTTGCTGTTTCTCATGGCAATAATGCTTTTTTTGTCACATGATGAAGTGGTCACATTTGGTCCAACTCCCAGTTCCCACGAAACCATTTCAGGGGCCGTGTTCTGCTCCCTTGAAAGCCTTCGATCTTCAGATTAGACACTGAGAAAGCCTCGCACAGTTTAGAAAAAGAAATTGACCTCTGACATTTTCTCTAACTTCTTATGTTTCCCACGAACGCAATCATACCCAGAAAGCATGTTTTGCTAAAATCTTGAGAGGGCCTTACTGGTATAAACAGAGTTGGTGGGGGGGCAAATTCTCCTACCTCCTCCTTCTGCATTTTAGCAACGAGACATGTTTCATGACAAACTGGGGTTGATTGTCTGTTCCTGTTGAATCAGAAACCTGGCCATGCTTTTCTATACAAACCTAAGTTTTAAGAAATATGTAAACAAGGCTTGCAGTTTCTGCTGCTACCATTTCAGAGGTATTGCAATAAAAATTCAATTTTAAGATTTTATTTGTCAATCTTTGGTCGTACCAATTGTTTTGGCATAACTTTTTCCCGCTTTCTGTGTCAACATCACAAAGCTTTGAGTTTTTGATTCCTAAAACAGAGTTTTGTTATCTTCTGCTGTCTTAATCACAGTCGCATTTTACTGTGAGATGGCATCATTCAGTCTGTTTGTGGAGATTAAAAAAAAAAGGTATTTTCTGGTCTTTTTTCCTTACCGGGAGCGTTCTCTCTACATGCACAATTTATACATTGTACATGAGGAATTATTGCCCTTTTTCACCTGGCGCTTCTCTTGCTGTAGCAGGAAATATAGTTTTGACACAAATTACCACAGAAAGCAGAGTTCATGAACTACTATTAGCACTGAGACGCTGTTGTTCCTTTACCAACCAGCGTGCATCCTGAGATCCTGAGGCAGGAATCTGCTCAATGGTCCCGCCTCACTAAAGTCGACTCAGTTTTTTTCTGTTAGGGTTTTTTTCCGTCTTCTTCTAATTTGGTAATGGCCCAGACACACTAGAGCAGAAATAAGATGGCAGTGTCTTTGACACCATGACTAACTTGGTTGGCCAGTGAGTGCACTGAATCTCAACTAATCACTTGGTGGCTTGGGGTGGTTTTGATCACAAGGCAGTTGCTAAAATGCATGCGTCTCTTTTTTGTACGCACTTCTGTAATCTACATGTGCACTAAAAGCACTTTTCCGATTTTAAACTGCAATCACCCACATTTAGTATCTTGTGCACTTGTGCAGATGCTGAGGATGACCTGCTTTACCTTCAAGGCACAGCTGCCCCATTGATTTGTATATTTTTATTGTCCTACTTTAATATTTTATTTAATGACATTTAATAGTTTTACTTATTTTACATTTATTTTGATTTAAATAATTAATTAATTAATTTTCCCTTACTGAAACATTTGCTACAGGTTTAATGTTTTGCTGCTGAGCGTTTTAGATTTTTCGGCTATTTAAAATTTGTTCTTGATCATTTAGTGACACTGTTTATTCTTGATGTCACACTTGCTATGGTTTAAATTTAAATTGCTTTGTATATTATAATTGATCCTTTTTGCAGGTCTGAATCTTCATTTAACTATTTATTTGCCACTTTGGTGTTTTTGTAAAGCACTTTGTAATGCTAATTCTTATAAGTGTTGTCCAAAAAACTTTATTGTGAAACTGAAAAATAAGATAACCCTTTAAACTTGCTGCGATGTCTCTGCAGATTTGTTTTGCACTGAAAGCTTCTTTCATTACATGTGGTTTTCACAGCTATAGCTTCCTGATGCAAATATCACACCTGAAAAGATCTCCAGATGTCTTATCTACCTAACTTATGAATGTCATTTGAATTATTTTTGTCAAATTACATTTGAGCCTCATTGCAGATCATCTCCATGTGTTCAGTGATTCCTTCAGGTGTTTGTGAACCTGGCTTTGAAGACAGTGGATGTGCTTATTATGTTGTGTAAACAGATGAAGCAATGAAAGCTGGCAATGTAATTTCCTGCAAAACATTAATAAAGGATCTAAGTTGATAATATGCAAACCTACAATTTCCTTCCTTATTTAGAGTGATAAGAGCATCACTTTGCAGCAGCCTCTCACTGCTAAGTGGCAACAGTCACACCCAGAACATCTACTTTGAACACAACATGGCAACTAAGCAGCCTCTCGTTTTGTATAGCTTAACTTTGAATTAGGATACTTATACATTTTAATTGATGACATATATGAAGTAAAAAGAAGGCCTTGGTGTACACCTATACATCTACACGTGATCGTGAAATCAACTATTTATACTGTCTGGATTCAACTTCTGTCCCTCTGGTCATTACTATTACTTCTTTCTCCTAACAATACAGAGAGTAGTCACTTTACTAAAATGTTGTTGTTTTTTTAATTTCTCTTTATTCAGTGCTGCACTAAAACATTTTTTAGTGCAGCACAACAGGATTTGAGTTTGAGCGTCCACCAGTGGAGGAGCACAGGAGAGACGGCAGGATATATCTTATTTATGAAAATGTGTCTGCACATGAAAGGAGGGACTGTCATTTACATTTCCCTGTCACGCTCCTGACCTCCGGCACAGACATTCAGGGGAGGAAAAAAATAAAACATGACAACATTTAATAAACACTTTTATTTAAAAAAGCAAAATAAATTAGAAACAATGTAAAAATATAATTTGGAGGAATTTTATTTTTTTCCCAGGAGTAATCTATTTGTATTCAGAATGGTCCCTGCTTTTTGGTAAGTTGACAAAGAAATGTTTTATCTAGCACCGTTGCATGGGAGTACAGAACAGCGTTGCTGATCTTGCAAAAATTATACAGTTCATATGAATTCAGGACAAACGGCAGACTGCAGTGTACTGGTTTCATATAAATACAATATATTAAATTTTACATTTTACTCTGGAATGCCTCTATACCATAAAAAAAAGAGGGGCAGAGGATCATGAAATCAAAATCTGAAGCTTTTTACCTTCACTGCAAGAAAAAGAAAAGAAAAAAGAAAAAAAAAAATCAGCCAGGATATGTAAACTGATCTCACTCACTGCAACATTTCCAAAGGCATTCAAATTGGTTTTACAATCTTTAGGGGCAAGCGACGAATGTCAGTTTTAAGGGGCTCTGAGACTGTGCAAACATTACTGTAACATCGTGAAATAACGTTCTTTCACTACAGAGGGCCCTTTTTTGCAGAGTGGTCGCCGGACGTTGTCCAACGTTTACGAAATCGTGCCGAATTTTAAAATATGTGGATGCATCAAGTGTGGAGAATGCCAGCTAGCGCACCAAGAGGAAGGTAAGCCCAGCAAGGCCGACACCGGCGGCAGCAAACAGCGCTTTCTTCATGGATGAGTCCTGGCTCACTTCTCTGGCACTGCGGGAGAACTTACAGAAGCCTTCCTACAAGAAGACAAACAGAAACAACATGTTCAGTATTATTACGAGTGCTGCTTCCAGTTATCCCCCCCAATGCACTGTTTTAGAGAAAGCAGCTACACCTCTGTACCCCCCCCCCACACACACACACACAAAGACTGTATATAAAAGATGGAGGTAGCCACCACGCTGTAAACAATTGGTTTGTTAAGTCTTGTTATGAGCAATACTGCTGGGTCTTTACCAGACAGTACAAAGGAACTGCTGTTGTGATTTGTCGCTATATAAACAAACCTAAACTGAAGCCTCGAGCTGAGTGTTTTCATCATTATGTTTTTAAAGCAGACACAACAAACAGGGTGCAGATCTGTCTGCCAAACCACACACCATTGAGCACACCTGGATTTAATTACCCAAATTTACAAAATGAACTCCATGTTCATAATGCGGGTTTAAAAGCACGTCCGTGTCACTGGTTTACTGGTCAGACATCCAACTTTAATACCATCGACATCATTTCATTTGTTAATGTTTTATGATGATTGTTATGGTACATTAAAACTAAAACTAGGTGTGAAAACTAGAACAACTTGAATCAGGAGGCTTTGTGATGTTTGTGACACAAAATTTACCAGCTGCATCAATTTTGTTCTGGCTAAATGTTGGCCAAGGCCAAAGTCTTCAAAATCGATTCATTTTTGTTTGTTTGTTTCCCCAGGAGCAAAGAGGACATAAAAAAAATGTATAAAATAAATGTATTTTTAATCTATTGGCTGATTTGTTTTTGCCTAAGTATCAATGTCGACCCTAAATTCCTATTATGTTAATTATGAACAAATTTAGGCATAAACAATGATAAATATTGGCTACTGCCATCAGTAGAAGTCATCTTAATTGTTTGGGCTGATATCAGTACATCTTTGTGTATAAAACTCAAATAAATGTACAACAACAGAAGTAGTATGTTGGAATTTGAATTTTTCCATCTCTCCATCGTGTTTTCAGACTGAAGACATACATTCTGACCAGCGAGTGCACCTGCTCTCAGCTCCAGGTGTTCTCGCTGCCCGACAGCTGCTTGTTTTTCTAGTCATACCACGCTAACTTTCAATACAGCTAAAGCCAAACTCAACACACACACAAGCTTTGACTGTTACTACAAAAAGTCCATCTGGCTGTGTCTGTTGAAACCAGCTGCCAGCCAAAGAAAGGAGGGGTGTGTGTGTGTGGGTGTGTGTTGGGTAAGCCCATTCATAAAAGCCAGCATCTGATGTTCAGTTGAGGCTTTTGGGACTCAGCCAGAGGGCATTATAGTTCACGTTTTTCCAGTAAATAAGCAGCCTCCCAGCAGGTTTAACCCTGCTAAGTCATCATCTGTGATCACCCTAACCTTCTGCTACTGGAACATGTTTTATATTTTTCTTTTTCTTTTTTTTAAATTTTCCTCCAAGTCTAATCCTTCTAAGTTGCCTTAATTACTCTTTTTCTCCACTTTAAAATCTTTTAGATTTCTTGGCGAGACAAACTTTACCTACCACCATTATTGAGATCTTGTTGTTTTAGCATAAATTCCCCAGCATGTTGTCTACAATTACTTTGTAATTCCCAGAATCACAGTAGTCTCAACACTCATTGTGATGCCAAACAAAGTAATAAACAAGAAAGAATCTAAGAGATTTGTCCCTGGTTGTATCTTATGGCATAAACCTAAACAACAGATCAATCTATCAGACTGGTGATTTCCAGTGACAGTAATTCAAAGAAAAACAAAACACAAAAATCCCCCAGACAACTACCACTTTGAATCCACTGTTTTGCTCTTGACATAATCAAAGCCTCCCATATCTTCAGTTTTTGTGTTGACTCAGTTTCAGGGAACACCTACCCATCCATCATTATCCAACAGCCAGTCTTTCTTCTCTTCTCCCAGGTAATCAGCTATGGTCTCTGCCAGCCTTCTGCAGCTCATGGGCTCCTGTCCCAGTTCCTGCTGTTGACGAGGGTCCAGCCCCGGCTTCTGCTCCAGGATCTTTCTGGCCAGCACTCCAGTAAAGGCGAAAAGAGAAACAACCCTCCCCCAGTTCAAGTGTCCATCTCCAACCAGCTCCTTCATCACCTTTCTGAGGCTGAGGCAGTGGTCCGGTCCACACTGCACCAGGAAGGTCTGAGCGAGGTTGTCGAAGCGAGCTTGGTGCTGTCTTTCGATGTCCCAGCCTAGACGCCTCATGGCAGCGGCTGATTCGCTGGGAGGTGGAGGGGCTTGATGTGGACTCGTGCAGCAAAAGGACAGGTAGTCCTCGGCCAAAACCAGGGTCTCTTTCCACAGCCCACAGAATTTCATTTTCTACAAGTGAGGGGAAAAGAAGACGAGCTTAAGGAACTTGCCAATCGAGACACTGAACTACTATGAAGAACAAATGCTGATGATCTGGTTTTATCATCAGTAAATCTGCCGACTGCTTCCTAAACTGTGTGTTTGGTTCTGTATAATTAACAACTACAAAGCCTCACGGTTATCCCAACCCTGGATAACTGGGAGGGTTATATCAGGAAGGGCATCTGATCTGCCATGCTGTGGCAACTCCCTTGAGAAATATGGAAGCAACTGAAAGTACCTTCTTCATTTGAAAAGTGAAAATGTGACACTGGTTTTTCCCGGCATTTAAAACAAGGTGCTAACACTCACCTTCTGGCAAAGGGAAACAAACACGATCATTTTTTCCCTTTAAAAAAATGTGTATAAAAGCTACCAAAAAATATGGTAAAATGACTCAAACAACCACGATGACATGGTCAAATTACCAAACTGTCTTCTTTGTACTGTATTCCCTCTCTGTACTACAGTAACTAAACGGTTTTAAAGCCTTTTAGCTCTGAACTGATGTCATATAAATAATGAATACTGGCTGCTGACATCTCCCAGAGTCATCTTAACTGATTACAGCCTCTGTATAAAACCTAAATATAAAATTATGAAGGAAAAATCCTTTAGCTTTCGCCTCCAGCTACCTCAATCGTGTGATTAACAACAGACGGTCTTTCAAACTAGTTTCATCAGCTTTGCTTTTGCACCCGCAGCTGTTTTCATATTAACACCGGCCAACCTAACGTAAGGGTTTTTCCATTCTCGACATAAAAATGCGTAAAAGTCAAACACTATGACCTGTGAGTCGGCTTCGGTTTCCGCGTCAGGTGTCGTTAAACGCAGGCAAAGAGAAACTGTGGTGTTAGCAGAGTATTTCCGTAGGCTGTGCTGCGGTTTAGCTTTAGCTTTCTGTTAACGGAAGCCACAGCGATGCTGAAGACGCACAGCTATCTCCACTTAAAGAGTAACGAACGGACACGCAGATCAAACAGATTGTAGTTTGGGAGTGGGGTCACTTTACGTGACCGTTTACTGTAGCAGCTAGCCGTCGGCCGGGTTGTTGGCTTTAGCTTCACTGAGTAATCGTTGATCTGTCACCAGAGCAATGGAGGACACAAAGGAGCGCTCGCGAACGGAGAGCGAGCTCAGCTACGACAGCCACGTCTACGCAGTAAAAGCCGGTTTAAACCGACCAAAAAAAGACACTCCAGTGTGGACATTTTCCTGTAGCTCTCTAACAAGACACAAATTAGCAAAATAAACACGTTTTTCTTAAATATATTAAACAAAGACTCACCCTCCCAGCGATATCAGACTGCTCTCTGCACATACAGACGGCGGAAGGAGAGCGTCGGTACAGTTGAGTCTTCCCTTCAGCTGATGCAGAATGCGTGACTCCGCCTCTCGACATGATTTTTGTGCTGGGAACGTCGTGTGGACTGTGGAAAGAAGACACCACCGCCACGGAATAACCAGCGGAAGTGTGGTCATGGTTTGGTATGGTACAAAAAAGGGTGACAAATAATCCATAAATCATTGTTTTACGTTAAGTAGTTGTCATGAAAGATGTCTTTGTGCCTAGGTATTTTTTAAATTTACATTGCCACAAATGGAGACCATAGATACAATGTAGAAAGTTATTGTAAAAACAAAACAAAACTGGATGGTTAACTTGTTTGGTGTTGTGTTTTACCAGACGAGAAAACACTTGACATGATCAGAACATAAAAGGATCATTCTACAATTCGGGGACAATTTAGGCTTTCAAATGTTGTTTGTTTGTTTTTTAATTAACCCTATGTTTTAACATTTTCTGCTGTCCGTTAAGAAACTCAAATAATAAACCATCAAAGTGACATTTTTTTGAGATGCCATACTACAGAACCTTATAAAGTAGAGTTTAAAAATATAGTTTAATATAATCTTGACCGTTAATTTAAAGGAAGTTACCATCATACTGAATACTCAGTTTTAGATAAAACTTGTTTTATATCAACGTTTGAAAACAAGCTAGCACAAATTAACATGGATGAATAGATATATAATCTAGCATTATTTATCATAATTTACACAAGTGTATAATACTTGTTTTATGTGCATGGTAACAGGGTGTGTAGATAGCAGTGTTACAAATCAGTGCGATCAGTAAGTCTTGGTGTTTTCTCAGAGAAAGGTTGAGCTGAAAGTAAATAAATAAGTGTAGTTATATAAATAAAGGAAGGAAACTGAATTTAATATGTCTTCTGGACACCAAGTATTACAAACTATGCCAAAGAGAACTGACCTCAGAGAACTGCCACTAGCACATGACTTATGTCACTTCCTTTTTCCAAGTTTTTTCTCTTCCGTTTCCCAACTAGATAGGTTTCATTAGAGAACAGTAATTATATACTGCAAGTTATATCCCACAACACTTGTGGACTTCTGTTAAAGTATATTGATGATTAAAATATCACTTAATAATTGTAAAAGACATGTCAACAAAATAAAAAAAAAAAAAAGCAAAAAAGTGGATTCATAGTTTATTTTAACTGTTATACTTAACATGCAATTTGGTTATCAAGTGTATGGATTTTCAGGGAGTCCAGGACTTCTGACTTGTAGCTTTCAATTATTAAATCATTTACTAGCAGGGACTTAACAGAGGGGATTTAATGTCTATCAGAGAGATCAGCAAGTAAAAAAATTAACAATTTTACTTTTTGGTGAAGTCGAGGATGTTATATTGTTCTTTCTTCAGTGTGTACGCCCTATAGCTTACACATTGCTTCTTAGATGCAATGGACGGTGGATGTCGTATATTGTGTCTAAAAAAAAACAATGGACATCCCTGCACAGGCTCTTTAAAAATTGGTATGTCCTCTGAGCTTTCACCTTCCTGCTCTAATGTCTGGAGCTCCTCCATCTCATCTGCTGACAGCAGGAAGTCTTTCTTTCCTTCAAGAATTCTGTGAAAATTCCTTTCTGCATCACTCAGTCCTCTGCCTCCTGAAGTGGTTGAAAACAGGAGTTGGTAAATCCTGCTCTCCACCAAATAAAATATTATAATATTTCTGAAATCCTATGAAATTGAAGTTACGAGTCTCATTGGACTTTTTGGACCCTTGTTGACATAAAACGTGGAAGCTGCAGTCCCCGTCATTAAAAAAAAAGTCAATGTTGCCTGTTAGTCAAACCCCCTCATTATGCTGTCATTAAAAATCCCAGGATATCATAAACTGTGATGACACAGAGGCCACAAAACTCATTTTCCTTAGCTTGGTTTGTCTTTTGGCTTAAAAAGTCCAGGTAAATCTACAGGTGTAATTTTGATAGCAAGGATTAATTAAGTTAATTGTTAACATTTCCCACGGCTCAGAAAGCAAACTTGCGGTTTATGGACATTTCTTTTTCGCCACTAAACAGTGACATCTGTTACTCGTTCCAAATCCATGAACAGCATGAGGAAGTGAAACATACAGAGGATATGCATATAATCACTATGATGATAAACTCAGTGTTAATTTTAGGGACTTTCACTTCATGGTAATACCCGTTGTATGCTTGTCCTTCAATCTCCGTTTCACCTTCCCTACATCATGGCCTTTCTCTGTCTACACTGGTGTTTCCCCCTGGGTGATTCCCACTATAAATTTATGACAATCTGAATGCAGGCTAGCAACGGAAGTGAAAAAAACACACGTAAAACAGAGCAACCTAATCCCCAGAGTGCATGTTTTCTATGACATAAGTTCAATCATCTGAAATGCAAAGTTAGTGGCTTTCGGAGAAGGTCGATGTCACAGAAACACAGTGATGCAGCTGTTATGTTATTAAAGTTGGATGCTGCCCTTCCTACAGCAGAAATACCACCCCCCCCCCCCCCCCGCTGTACTGACTGGACTTAGTGGCATTGTGGTAAACATGTCGCTAGATACATAAAGTGATGATGTGGATAGGGTGGCCGACCTTTGACCTTTGTTTAGAAAAAACAGAGACGTGTAAGAACGGCATCAACAATGCTTTGAGGTCAGAGACTGAACAAACAGTAGAGGGTCATGACATGAGAAGTCAGTGAGCGTCTCCCACCTGACGCCCTCAGAATCAGCTTATTCTTTGTCTCTTAGGCTATTTAATGAAGCCATGCAAGGCTTTGATGCATAAACTTGGAGGGATGGATAAAAATTTGGGGCTTTTTGATTCATTTGATATTTCTCAGAATTTGAGCCCTCCTAATAAGCACAGGAGATTACCACAGGGCGATTTTATATGGAAACAATATGTTTGCTTCCTTCAGGGGAATAATGTCACTGTTACAAAATGCTGTTTAAACGTTATCGTTCTGACGTAAAAGTTCTTTTTTTTTCCTTCTAAAATTATGTACACTTTACGTCATCGTGGACCTTTGCACATGCTTCCTGCATTACAGCATTTGTTTCCCTACCATACAGAGAACCATTGTTCACCCTTCATCGTCATAGTCCATGAAAATCAAATATCAGAAACAGGAAGAGATGTGTGAATCTAGAAATGCCTCGATAATAAAAAAAAAACAAACAAACCACCAGATGAAAATTTAACTTAACAGTTTTAACTGGGATTCCAATAAGAAAGGAAACCCAACTTTACAAAGACTCTCATATAAGACCATAAAAAAGCTTCCATGTGTGCTTATTGTTTTACTTAGCAAGGGAGTCAGGAATGTTACATTCAAAATAAAATATATATTTGGCTTTCACATACCAATACCAAACCAGTAACTTAAAGTTAAAGTAACTAAAGTTAGTGTATCTTTTTTGGTGAGATGGTTAACATTTGTTTTGTTCTGTGTTCATTATATTCTTTGGTGTTTATTTTGGTCAAATCCAGATATAAAAGCGTTGCAGTTTAGATGGAGTTGTTTAAAAAGGGTAGATGTGCTAGGCTAAAACTACAGCTTTCACATTTTTAGTCAGTAGCTTGTGTTATTTTCCAGCTGTTTTTGCAGTTTGTATGACACTAAAGATAAGATTTAGCACTATGTTAAAATTTCAAACATCCTGTCAGCATTAGTAATGTCCTGCTTTGACCCCCCCCTCTAGCATACGTTTTGCTTCCCATTTACTTTTTTGATATATGGTCACCTTATTCACAAACAAAGTCAAGTGTCGAATCTTTTTTTTATCTCCATATCCTCTGCAGAGCCAGACAGTTTTATGTTTACTGTGGATCAGTTACGTAATTCAACAAGCTCAGTGCCTGTTAACTGATTGTCAGACAATCATAAAATGTCTGGTATGTGGAAAAAAATAAAATAAGGTAAATAAAACAGACAATATAAATCAGTGCATTCAAACAGATTGTGTACTATAAAGCAATCTGGCATGGTATGTGAGTAGGAATAATTGTGATAACAAGTACCCGACTGAAATGGTCCAACAAGGTTTGAGAATTCAAACAAAATCCTGTCCTGATCTTTAGCACAGGGAACCAATATCTTTTTCTTTCAGGAACTGTTATGAAATCATTCATTAATTTATATTAAAAAAAAAGAAGAAACAAAAAGCAAAAAAAAAAAAAGCCAACAAAAACGTTTTACTGAGCTTTTCATTGCTGCACTACCCTCTTTCTGCTGGGATACAGTGTAAACGCCCCCTAGTGCCACTAAATGGAACCAAAGAAGACCGCATTTTCTTCTGTCTACTTCCTTCTCATTTTCTCTCTACTAACTTTCCCAAAAAAATCATACTTGGGGATTTAAATGCTTCAGTGATTTCACCAATTATAACCTTGCAATAAAAGATTTGTGAGATCTCTGCTTATTTACATCTCTCCCCTTCCCAGAACAGAAGAAATGCAAATTTCAGCCACTGGAACCGAATCTAGGTCATCCTGAATGCCGGGAGGCTGAAGTTGAATGCAGCTTGAGAGGCACAATCAGTTAAAATGAGGGGATTTACAAAAGTCTTTACATGCTGCTGTATGCTTTGTTAAGCCATATCAGGTCAACCTTATATGCTTTTGCATTTGCATCTTCAGAGTGTGGTTAGACATGAGTGCATTAAAAGGATATATATAGTATCCTGTGTGTCAAGTAGGGGCCAGGGTAGAAGTGGCTGTAGCCTACATGAAAATTTGTATTTTCCCCACAATAAAATATGCATTTTGAAATAAGAAAACTGAGGTTCTATTCAAATTTCTTTTCTTGTGTTTAATCATGACATCAGCTACAGCAAAATACCAAAAAAGTAGAGACAATATACACAACACATTTAACAGCATGTGCAACTACAGCTTCTTAAGAAAAGTGACAGTGGGCATTATTTACATGACAATCGGTAATATTGTTTGCAGTATGACACACAAGTTTGATCATGCAGATGATTTCTAAAGGTTATTTGGCTCTTTACAGGAATACATATTTCACACTATGTTAAAAAATAACATATTTATTTAGCATCAGTCATCAGGGTAACAATAACAAAGACTGGGAATACCAACTTCTGCTTAAACAAATATCCACTTTATAGATATTATTGAATATTTTCATTCAGAGACATCTGAGGGCTTGGCTGACTGAAGGTTTCGTCAATACACACCTGAAATAGTGCTAATATTTCAGGCTGGGCTTTGGGATTATTGGCCATCAAATGTAGATACCTTTGTTGGAAACTACCACGATAAAAACTCTAGGCCCAAACCTGCATGAGACAGAAGTGCAGAGTTAAAAACATAAATTTTTATGTCAGTAGCTACATTAAAAAATAAATAAATTAACCAGCCACTTTATTAGATACCCATTCAACTACTTGTTAACACATATATCTAATCGGCCAATCACCTGGCAGCAACATTTAGGCATGTAGACATGCTTTGACCAAGCACTTGAATGGGGAAGAAAGATGGTTTAAGTCTGAGTATTTCAGAAACTGCTGATTTATTGGGACTTTCCACAGAATCATATCAATTGTTTACTGAGAAAGGTCCAGAAGAGAAAATATCCGGTGATCAGCGGTTTTCTGGGTGAAAATCCCTTGTTGATAGGTCAGAGGAGAATGGTCAGACTACTTCCAGCTGATAGGAAGTTAACACTAACTCAAATAATAACTTGAAAAAGAGTATCTTTGAGTGCAAATATGATGAGCCTTGAAGCAGATGGGCTACCGAGGACCACAGAGAATGCTCCTGTCATCTAAGGACCGGCAACTGAGGCTACAATTCACAAAGGGTGACCAAACTTGGAAAAATGTTGCCTGGTTTGATGAGTCTTAATTTCTGTTAGATGGTGCGATCAGAATTTAGCATAAATAACATGAAACCACGGATCCATCCTGACTCGTTTCAACAGTTCAGGTTGCTGGTGATGGTGTGACAGTGTTTAGGATATTTTCTTGGCACATTTTGTGTCCCTCGCTATCAACTGAATATCATTTAAGCACCACAACTTAACCTGAGTTTTCTTGCTGACTATGTCCATCTCTTTATAACTACAGTGTACCCATCTTTTGATGGTTACTTCTAGCAGGATAACACACCATGTTACAAAGCTCTAATCATCTCACAAAGAATTGAAGAAGTTCTGAGAGCAAATGAATGTCCAATCCAGTATTAGCAAGGTGTGCCTAATAAAGTGGCTAGTGAATTTATAAAATGACTCATTCACTAACGGAACATGAAGTATATTTTTAAATTAAAAAGCCACAGTAAATTCCAAAACAAGCCTACTGTTTACCCAAAACAAAAATATAATTTGATCCTGTTGAGAAACTCCAGCTCACCCGTAAAGTGCTATCCCAGGAAGCTGAACAGAGCGCTGTGCCATCAGGTGACACTCTCACTCTGCTAACACGGTTCTCGTGACCAAACAATATGGTGGCACGAGTCCCCTTCAAAACATCCCATACATTGATAGCGTAGTCATTATAACCAGCGAAGAGCAGACGGCCTGAGGGTGGAAGAAAGAGAAAGATATGGTGGAGACATAGATGAAAAGAAAGTGGGAAAACCAGGGAAGCAGACACTCACAAATTATAAGGTGAAATTCCTTTTGAATCTAAATTTGAGACAGAACAGAGAACCAAAGCGTTCTCAAGCTTTCTTGAGCCAAAACGTACTGAACACATTTGTTACAGCAATTTAAAGAGTGTTTGACTGACTCCTCACCGCTCAGAGAGAAGTCACAGGTGGAAGCGCCAAATATGATGCTGTCCTTCTGGTAGACTGCCACTTCACGGTCAGCTCTCAAGTCATAGAAACGGCACTTTGGAAAACCAGAAAACATAGAAACAACCAGTATGTAAAAACATACCAAGGTGGTTATTCCGGTAGATGGCCTACAGTGCAGATTATCAGAGTAAATCACAGCAACGAGGCTGAGGTTGCTTTTAGAGCTAAACTGATGTTGCCGTTGTTTCTGCCACGCCCTAATTAATGTGACCAATCAAATTACAGGGAGACAGGAAAAATAATGAACACTTAACCTAAATCCAACCTGAGAGGTAGCATAAAACTAAACATGTCTCATGACACAGACTACACATGTCTGTACATGTACATGGGACAACTGTTAGTAAAAATGTAACACATGTTTAACGTTTGTAAAAGGACCTTCTTCGTCTCAAAAAAAAAACTCCCTCAAAATGCAACTTAAAGATGAAAAAAAGGAAATTCGAAATTGGAAAATGAGTCACCTAAGTTTAAAAAAAACAATCTCAACAACGACTATTGTTCAGAGACAATAACTCCAGTCTCCCAAGGGAAATGGATCCATTAATCTGGGACAATCTGCTCTTTATTGTGACCTCGTTGCACTTTATATTATCTCGCCTGACGTCTTAAAGTCTTCCTGCTTTAAGGTTTTTCTGCCAGAAAGCACTGAAGGAAAATTTCTCCCATCAATGGCTTTTTCCTTTCGTCTCAGCCACTTGTCTGCTAATATAAAACCTAATGTAGTTGTACAATTTTATCCAGGTGTAAGCTTTGAACCACAGGTCAGAGTATCAGTGCAGTCCTGCTTTCTTCCATAAACATGAAGTCTCTCACGCTTTCCAGGTTTAAGGAGGAATCATTTCATCCCAGTCCCAGCTTGAGTCCCAGTTTGTTTTAGAAAGAATTTTACTGATGACAATAAGTCTTTATACTAAGGTAATTAATCGATAATAACAATTTTACATCTTAATAAGTCTAAATAAGTGCTGATAATAAGATCACAAACAATCCTTACAGGATTTGTATGTTTTTTTTTTTTGTTACTTTAATGATATTACCACATTTTTAAAAATGTATTTAATAACAGTTAACTATGCACTTTAAAACTGACCTACACATTTTTTCCCTAAAAATACCTTATTATGGGTAATAAAGCTATTAATAACTAATGTGCTTTTTAAAACTCTAGGTGTCTGGCTTGAGTACTACATGGTGTCGAGACTGAAAAAAACAAACAAAGTACAATATTTTAGTGCAATAACATCTCAATGTCTTTTGTTGTCATTGCTTTTAGTCTCTTATTGATAGTTCTGTATTGATTTTCTGCATTTGGTATGTTTCTGTTTTTTTACTTCTATTTTAATGTCATCCTTAAGGTTAAGCTTATACTCAGTTTTATCTTGTTTTGTACTCTTAATGTATCTATTCTGTAGCGTTGCTTTTAAAGCACCTTTCTAATAAATAAAACTATTAATGTTGTTATAAATGCCTTGATAAGAATAAAGCTTAATAATGTTCCAAAAATAAATCAGAGGGAGCTCTGTGACTCAATATTACTGCTCCACGCAGGAACTGAGACAGTCATTTATCGTATTGTATCACTGATGGCACAGAGTGACATGAGCTCATCGAAACAAACAGATGAGCAGGTTACATGACAGGACTCACCGTCGCATCATCAGAGGCAGATGCAAATGCATCTCCACTGGGGTAGTACCTATGCACAAGTAGACAAAAGCAGGTTTAGAAATGATGCGGTAATGATGTATTTTCCATTGAAGAGGAAATTGACAGATTCTGTTTTTAATTTAAGCTTTTCTTTTGAAGTAAGTAAATTATTTTGGTGCATGATCTGCATCACAGAGCTCAGTCTGTATGACCAACACAAGAACACAAACAAGTCTTCTAAATGAAAAATGTGTTGGTTTCTCAATACTCTCCTTTTGTTCACACACTCAAAAAATATCTATAAGAAAATACAAAAATGTAAAAATAATGTCTCAGAAATAAATTAAAACTATTATATTTATTTTTGTTGAATTGTTTTTCTCTCAACATCAAAAGGCAGCAGCTGTCTTCACTCAATGTGTGAACATACTGTATGTGGTTTTGCTCTTCATGGATTTTGATTTATTCAATTTGCTCCCTTTGGCTACAGCTTTTTAATGTCTGTCAAAGAAATGATCCATTTTTCATTTGTAAAATCAAGAAACTGTGATTCACTTAAGCTTTTTAAAAGAGTAGGACCCACTTCACGCAGTTGATGTCAGACTCGTGGCTCTCGAAAGATTGAATGTTCTGTCCAGAGCGCATGTCCCACACATTGGCCTTCATATCACAGCCCTGACAACACAAACACACACATACAGATAAACAGACACACACAGGCGCACAAAGAAAATATTGTTGTTCTCCAGTAAAATCCCAGTTTCTTCATCATAGTTCAATGAAAACCAAACACAAAGAAGTGAATTACAGGGTTTCCCCTGAAGAAGACCACATAAATCTCAAACCAATCCACAGAATATTTCTCTCTCTCTCTTTCGCTCTCACCCCAGAGACAAAAGTGTTTCCAGTCTCAGATGGGGCGAGGTCCAGGGACAGGACATCAGCTGTGTGACCGTGGAAACTCTGCAGCAGCTGCCCGCTCTCCACATCCCACAATGCACATGTGCCATCGCCACTGGAGGTCAGGAGCTAGCAGACACAAATGTACAGAGATACATGAATATAAGAGCAAGGCCATGCATCTTCTTTATATATACAACACTTTTTATCACTCATGCCTGTTTGTTTAACCCTTAAGCAACCCAACTACTTTAGCAGCTAAAATGATAAGCATCATTTATGACCCAATCATATTTTATGGAAACTTCAACTAAAAGCACAAACTGCAGAACTAAATAATTTAGACAATTGCCATTTTACAAAACAATTTTTTTTAACCCAAAGGTATATTTCAGTGAATTGTGTAGTACAATTGTGTATTTTTACATGCTAGTATAATTTTAACACCAAAATATGACACCATCGTCAGTGTGTTTTTTCCATCCTGTTCTAACTATACACAAAGCTCTGATTGTTGATGTGTAATATTATAAAACACTGAAATATAACTAAATGTTAGCAGTCAGAAATAAATACAGTCCTTTCCACAGCATTGGGGAGTTCCTGTAAAAACTCGGAGAAGCAGATTGAAGTAATCATGGCATGAAACGTCACAAAGGCACGTTCCAATATCTGATTGAGGTTAGAAATGATTTTTAGGGAAATGTTTTTAAATATCTTTGCCCAATCGAGAACCTTGAAGCCAGTGAAACCCAGACCATAGAAACTAAACAAAAAGGAAGCTTAGAAATATTAAAATAGTTTGGAAAGCCTATTTTTTGGTTGAAACTGGGATACACAACAGAACAATGATCCCAAGCACACCAGCGAATCTACAGCAGAATGGCTGAAAAATAAAATAATCAAGGTGCTGTCCTTGCAGCACCTTGATTATTTTTGATTTTTTTTTTTGCTGCGAAATGTGGTTCTAAAAACTACCGAATCATGAGGCGTCCATTTTCACATGACTGTTAACTCTAGCACTTGATTAATTCAGAGAAGTGAAGGTTTCTTTACCCTAAACACCCACACAGACATATGATTAGTGGTTTTATCTTTGCTGGGTTTTTTTCCTCCTTCTTTAAAAGTATTTTTAGCTGCTTGGTTTCATTTCTCAGTTCAATTACGTAGAAATGAAACAGATAATACACTAGATAGTGTGCTCCTAATCATTACGCAATTATGGTCAAATAAAGTACTTTTTTAAAAATTAAGCGTTCGGCTTGTTTTATTCTGCTTTTATAGATGGATTGCTCTGAGGGGTTGTCAGTTAATTTGCCAGGAAATCTGACCTAAAGAGGAACCTTTGCCTATTTATTAGTCAAGGCAGGTTTTTTTTCTATAGCACAGTTCATGCACAAGACAAATCAAAAGGCTTTACATAAACATTAAAAGGACATTAATAATAAAAACCTAAAAAAATAAATACATGAATGAAATAAAATTAAAAACAAAACAAAATATCGAGAAACCGTCATCAGAATACATGAAGTGAGTTGCATATGATACAAACAGGCAACGTGGGGAAGAAGAGTACATCCTCTCTGTTACAAAAACTCTAACTATGTATCTGAATACAAAGAAGCAGACAAAATGTCAACAAATCCTCTAATGAAAACAGATTACGGGCACTTAGAGACACATGCAGACATCTGAGGTCCCTGCCGGCTGGTGGATTAGAGAGCTCCTGCTGGATGACCCCAGGCACAAAAAACACCACACATCCTGCCTGCACCAAGCGGTAACTCCAGTTTCAACACGAATATAATTATCAGTAAGCCACAATTACTCCCACACACAGATGGAAATCTCAGCGATCTGACGGAGAGCCTTTGCATCACTTTACGCACCACCAGCCTGACCTTAAAACTTCCATGGTTGGTTCGTTATTACTCAGTGAAACCACACAACAGCACCAGCTGAAAACCTGAGCTAACACACGGATATACACAAATACTACACGATCAAAGCATGTAATCTAGACTTTAAGGGATTTTAAAGCTGCTCAATTGAGTCTCCTACACACTGCTGCAGTAAAATATACGGGAACTTAAAAAATATAAAGACTGGCATGCGTGACAGTGTGTTGAAGGGAGAAAAAAGACGACAGACAGGAAGACGACATGCATGTGTGTATTTTTGTGTTAAATGTTCTGCCCTCAAGTCACTGTGCTCCACTCTTCTTTAGATAAAAGCCACTCAGTGTCTATTAATACACCCATGAGAGAGGATCATACCTTCCCCCCCCCTCGTCTCTTTCCGGCCCCTCCTCATCCCTGCCACCCATCTCCTTTCTCCTCTCCTTCCCTGCCCTCATTTTACCTCCACTCCCACTGTGTTCCTGTGCCTCACCGAGGGCCAAAGTGAAGTAAATTATTAATGCCAAATATTTCAGGTCGTCTCCTTCATGTTCCCTTTTTGATTCTCTTCCTCTCCCTACCTGTACAGAAAAGACCCCTAACTTTCAACATATGGAAGCCAGTATTTAAAAGAAAAATGAAGAAGATAACCGTCACTATTCCTTGAAAAAACAAGACTGATTAGATGTAATGAAGGAGGGATGGAGGTGGAAGGGAAACATTCATACGATGAGCAGCTTGATCGGGTAATTATGCCATGTTTTTTCTTTATATTTAGCAGTGCTACAAAAGCTTTTCTCGCTATCATGGCTCAAAGTAAAGAAAAATCCTTGTTGCACTCGTTGGCTGCATTGAATATGCTACCATGTACTTCTACTGGCTATTTGAGAAGCCTGGAGGACCACATCCCCTAAAAGCTCCACCAGCTGATGCGCCGCTCACCTGCATGTCAGAGTTGGTGAAGGAGCAGCCTGACACATAGTTGGTGTGCATAGCAACCGACTTCTTCTTCGCAGCCAAGTTCTCATTTTTGTCCAGAGACAACGGGATGACTGAGCACTTGTTATCCAGGCCACTTTGGGAGAAAGCAAATGTTCAGTAATGGGTTTCACCCCAGTTACAGCGACAAAGTAGTCACCGATAACCATTCATGATTAAACACAAAGATCTTTCCCCCTACCCGCATGCTATAGCACAGCCCGAGGGGGCATAAGCACACGCCAGCACCCACGTGCACGGCAGGGGAACTCCATGCTCCTGTGGGCAACAGAGAACGTAATAAACACACATACGCAAAGAAAAAAAAAGGTTATTATGGTTAAAAAAAACACATATCTTCTTTTTTAACATAAAAACAAGCAAGGCAGCTTGTGCACAGCTGTGGTTTAATCTGGATGTGGTGTGTATTAATGAGGATTAAATTCAGTGTACTTATGCCTCCTCGTCACGAGGCATAACGGCTAGAAAAGCTGAATCCTGGCTATCATTTAAGGCCGGACACATACACTGAGTGATTATGGGGGACAGATGGATAGATAATATTTGAATTCATATTTCCATATAGTCGTGTCAAGTCCTCTTTCTCTCTCTTTGAGGATATAGGATGGCCCACTCACACCCTCAACACCAGCACATATGGTGATGGAACATGCATCTGAGCATTCAGAGGAAGAGAAAAATCACTCAGACTTACATAACAGACGGAGATTGATTCTGATCTTTTTTTATGTTGAGGGAAATTATTAAGGTAGACTGAAAACATGAGCATTAGCATTAATGCAAGAGCACTAATGGTGCTGTAACAGTATGCATTATATGTTATATTTACTCAAAAAATTAAACTTGTTATTTTTAAACTTGGGACAAGGTTCCTGTAATGTAATTTTTGCTGCAACTTGAGATGAATTTGGACTGAAGCGTGAAAGATTCACAGCAGCAGATTGTCATATTTTGCAAGCCCCTGACGTAAAATGTTCCTCTTTTCCTTTCCAGAAATTTGCAAGGAGAGGAAAAGCACATGATGTTTCCAAGTTCCCAAATTTCATAGACATGAAATTCATAGTTTTTTTTGTAATTTTGCAAGAATAATAAAAAATGCACTAAAAGTTCAAGGAATTCTTACACATACAAAAACGCCACATAAAGGTTTACACACCTTATTAAGAGTGAATGCATCCCAGACGATCACTTTTCCGTCCTAGGATAGAGAAATGAAGTCTTTTAATGGAAAAATAAACGCACAAAAACAAATAGGCCAACACAGAATAACAGACACACTGTTGTGTCATAGAAACAACACAATATTTATCTTTAGATACTACATCTTGTGTATGGATGTATGTGTGTGTGTGTGAGCAGGTGCATACCTGTGATGAGCTGACCATGCGTCGCTTGTCTTTGCACCAGTCCATACACAGCACCTTGTTCCCGTGACCCTTCAGTACACGTCTGGTCTTTATGGAGAGAGCACTCAACACCTCAACCTTCTCTGCCACCTGGTGCACTGAGGTGTAAAACACACGCGCACACACACACACACACACGCACGCACGCACAATTTACCAGTGAAAAGGAAGTGAAAACATTAGCAAAACAAGTGGTTTTTATGAATGTAGAAATCTGTGCATTTTGCTGTTTTTTCTAACAATTTCATAATCAAAATAATCTTTATCTAAAAAAAGATAGATATTTTTTATATTTCTCAACTGCTAATGCTCTGTTGTTGTACATTTCACTTAAATGCACATTAGCCTGTTATTAAATATCAATGATCTGATGCTCTCACTCTGCCAGTGAACATCACTGTCGATAGGCGATGCTTTTATCAGATAGATATTTAGTAAACTTGGCTTTCAAAACTGCTGTCATGTAATGTTTTTGTAGTTCAAATATGCTTGTTATTAGATCATTGCTAGCTCTGCCAGTAAATTACAGCATTAGTGGGCATAACGCTAAAGAGTTTGTCCTTGCAGGCGCACTGTTGCCTCTGCATGTCAGCTTCATAGACTGTAGCCCTAAATTATTATGATTATTATATATAAAGGCAGTTGTAACATTCAAGTGACAAAAAAACATTAATAATTCTGATCTGCCAAATAAAGTTTTTCATTCCCCAGCACTTTTAACTAACAGCCGTATATTTCCAGTGTTTTCTATACCAGACTTATTCATGATCAAATATCCCCCCCCCCCCCCCCCCCTCTTTTTTTAAGGTTCCCATGCTTTGCCCCTCAATTAAAATAACAAATCCTGGAAACGCCCCTGCACAAAACCTCTCCTTTGCCACCCCATGTAAAATTTCAGAGACAAGTCCAACAGCTGGCAGCTGCATATTTTAAGCAGATAAGAAAATGTTTCATTAGAAAACGAGAAGCAGAGTGCTTGAAGCTCGTTTTGCTGTTTGTTTAATTCATCACTTACACTCCACGTCGTTCAGCTTGTTTCGCTCCTCCTCCAGCTTCTTCTTCAGAGTCTCGCTCTCCCTCTTCAGTGACTCCAGGGTTTCCCCTTTTTGGAGCCCCTGACAAGCCATCTTCGAGAGCAGAGAAAAGAGGAGAGCAGAGGGAGGAAGGGAGCGGGAAACAAGGGAGAATTGGGAGAAGCGGGTGGTTGGCGGTTAGAGGTTTGTTTAAATAGTCCTCGAGCGCGACTGTGATGCTGTTGCGCGTGCTGCACTCCGCTGCTCTGCTCAGCCTCCTCCCCCTCTCTGCTCCCTGCACCGCTGTTCACCGGGAGCTCCTCAGTCTCCACCTTTTGTCTTATTCCCATATTCCAGTTATGGCATGACAGCTGCTTTCAAAACGCGTTGTTATTTAACATAAAAATTTATGCAAGAAAATTTATATGAGAAAATATTAAGATGTTTAAATAATGATGAGGCATTATATATGAGAAAGCTGACAATCTTCAGTTTAAGTTTGTGGGACAATTCTGAAAAGGTAGGTCTAAATCCTATTTTGAGTTTTTAGTTTTTCATCAGTTTTTTTCTGGAAAATGTTAATTAAAGTTAATTTAGACAGTCCGATTGAAGGACTGTCTAAATTCACATTAACATATCTAAAAAATTCGAAGTATATTATACATAATTGTGACTATATAAACTGCTATTGTAAATCTATCCAAGCGCCTGCTTATAAAAAATAAAATTAAAAACCACCACAATCTTAGAAAATGTTGCTATACTTTATTTGTTATTTTTTGTGGTGGAAAATTGAAAGAAATAAAATTGTGAGCCTCTATATGTCTTATATGTTATTTACTGAAATGTCTGCAGAGGGACCAACTCATCACAGAAGGTAAGACAGTCTGCAAACGAGTGGCCACGAACAAAGAAATGATTCAATATTTAAAGCTTGATTCTCACGCATGCATGCTGGCTGGAGTCTAACAGAGTGAAGCCAGATTGACCTAAACAAAGATGCAAGATGCATAAACCAGAGCTGCTCTGCTCGCCTTGAGGCACATGCAAAGGGTCACTGCTTATACACTCCCATTTACGTTAACCTGTGTGCAGACAAACAAAGCTTTCACAGTAAAACAAAGAACAAAGTAAAACAGTTACAGCTCTTATTTTTCTTCTACACTTCTCAGCGCCAGTGCTGGAAGTGAGTCGCTCTTCTTGCATCACTTTGCCACTACTGGAGATTCCAGGCTCTGGTTGCCTAGGTAACCCTTTACCATATTGCTGCCCCGCACCCTGACACATGGCTCAGTGGTTCGCTTCGCTCTTACTGATGCTAAAAAAAGTTTTATATTTCTTTTAGTTTGTTTATCATATTCTCTCTGGAGACGTCATCTTTCAGGCTGCTTTTAAATAAAAGGTTAAATGGGTAAAATTATTACTGGTCAGTTTGTTTCCTGCGCCATCTTTAGGTAATAAATGGTATTACATGAAAGTATAGCCCAGCCCTTGTTTAACTTTGCCTGATGTCTCTTCAGCACAATAAAGAGATTTCTATGACTTGAGCTCAGAGCAGCTGTTTCTTCACATTCTGTTAATAGCTTTTTTAGTAGAATTTAATGAGTGGTGGTGATGATTGTGCACTACCACTTAAATGAATTTAATCATTGTTTTTATTTATTTTACTAAGTTTAAACCCATAGCGGTAGCACCTATACATTCATTTAACAACAGCAGCAGGACACATAAAGCTTGATGAATTACCTAGCAGGTGATGATACAGCATGTCTAAACATGCTGCAGTTTCAATACTGTGCCATGTTGATAGTGATTAACGTGTTTGTGTGTCCTTTTCTGCAAGTGAATATCAAATAAAATTGACAATTTTTCCCACACTGGCCATTCAAATGTTATTTAACATAATCATTACATCAAACCTCAATAGAATCAAAGTAGGCAGTTTGATCCTTTGTTACAGATCTATTGTTTGTTTAATTGAAGCAGATATGTTAATATTATGTAAAGTACATGTTAGGAAGTGTATTTCTGTCCTTGTTTGGAGATGATCACAGGGGACACTGGTGTCAAGTGAGCTGAGAGCCACTTCCTGTGTGTGTGTGTGTGTGTGTGTGTGTGTGTGTGTGTGTGTGTGTGTGTGTGTGTGTGTGTGTGTGTGTGTGTGTGTGTGTGTACATGTCAAAAGGTGCTGATGAGCGATGGGTCATTAGTTAAACAGATGCTGCACAAAGTGTGAGTGTCTTCAAACTAAAGATGTACCTCACATGTAGAAGCACGTCCTGATTTTACCACTAACCCTAACACTAAGCCACAGGAAGAAATATATATTTTTAAAAAAAACAGCAAGGAAATTGTTTTACAGACAAGTGCAAATAATTTGTTTACACCCATCTGCTACTACAGCTTTAATATTGTGATAAAATTAAAATACATATTAGAATAGTAGCATTTCTTTCCAGCATGGAAGTACAGTAACTTGGACAGGTGAGCTAACCTGATTTCCACCTGTCAAAACTACAAACACTGGCATTTAGCTCTGTAAAGTGAATAATTTCAAAGTAATAAAATTGTTTCGATATTTAACAAACAAAAAATCTCCAGTTCATCTGCAGAATGAGGCAACTAAATTAATAAAATGGAGCAAGCTACCAAGCTCAAACAGAGCTAAACAATATTTATGTGTTCCCTAAATGCAGATAATACTTGACTCACACATTTTTTTACATTTAAAGGGGAGTAGCAGAATATCTGCCTTCAGATATGCAAGGTTGTAGCATTCATGTTAGTGATGCTGGAGGCAACGAGCATTAGTGACAAAAACATCCTGCAGCACTGTTGAGCATACCAAGCTGTCCATATTATCCCTCGATTGGTGAGTTAGGAACACTCCGGGCATTTTTTGCCAGTATTGGAGAAACAGACGTCTCATCATGTGAATTGTTAGGTGGTAGCTGCTCAAGTATAAAGCTTTTAAATCAGGGACAGAGGACTTTTTTTTCACAAGGGCTACACATGACATCTATGCTTATGTTCAATTTAATAAATTTAATAGACATGGTTGATTAGCTTAAAGGCTATTTGCCGGCCCTGAAGGGCGAAGACCTTTTCTCTAAAAACAACAACCTTCTGTTAGAAAATGTTGACTGCTTAGGTATAAATTTGTTGCACAATCATAAGATTACTTACATAAATGCAGTATCAGCTTTTAAATTAGGCTACATCTTGTTAATTGGTATGCATCGCATGAGCCAATAATGAATGATTATGTTATGAACATGGACACACTCATTGCAATCATTCACAATGGTATTCATTAGCATAATGCTGCCTTTTGTTTGATTTTTGAGGGGAGGTGTAGCGATGAAAATGAAAGGAGAACATTACCATTTCCACACAGAGGGAGCAGTAGTTGGTGGCCTCGTTCTTAACGTAGATGTTCATCAGAGGACTCGGTTTACTGCAGCTGTCGCAGGGGCCAAAAGTGGCCGCCACGAAAGTCTGGTCACACATGGCTGCAGAGGATCACCAGCACACCTGCAGAAACCCACAAGACACACACATAAAGATGACTTTAATCATCAGGATTACATGTTGGAGGGTTTTCTTTGTGGCTCTTCTGGTTTCTTTTCTCAGCTCTGACCACTTGTCTTGTTTTGCGTTTGTGTGTGTGGAGCTGTACAGAAGATAAGCAGCTGGTAATCTACTCCAGCCTGATCCTCCTCTGAGGAGAGAAGCTATTCTGGGAACCACACACATCCAGCAACACCGAGTTCACAGCAGTGCATGATAAAGGACTTCCAAATCTGAACTAAATATGGTCATCCAAAATATGGATCAACATTTTATCGCTTCCCTACACAATTATATACATTTAAACTGAAACTCAAACAGTTTCCCTCATTTATAATGAATTATCATTTCATGTCATTGGCTTTCCATGACAGTATAACTCATATAATGAGTAAATAATGTATATATAGAACAGCATAGTGTCATATTGGTAGATTGCATTGAGAAGTTTGCACACAAACTCAAAAAAGTTAGTTTTCATTTGAACTTCTTACTGTCCTTTGATGTGTGATGTAATCACATATCAACTTTGTTTAAGTTGTCCTCATATGATCTTTTGTATCAAGTGTCTTAATCATTTGGATACATTTAAATACCCAACACGGTCTTTGATGATTTTATCTAAACTGCAGAGTCAAACATCTAAAACACCAGCTTCCAGTCAGGCCACACAGATAGCTGCCATATCAACAAATAACAATAAATCTTACCTTACAAAATACTTTTTCCCCTCTGTAGAGCAGCTGCTTGTCTCTGGAGATCTAAGTGGATGTTTTCTAGTGAAGAGGATTGTCAGTGAGGGACAGAGAGGGAATGGTAAGCTTCTTAGTGAAGCATTTAAGTCCCAACTCTGCTCTGCTTTTACCACCATGCTTTATACACTCCTGCAGCATTACCTGTAAGGCCTGGGAGGTTACTTTTACTGTGTAACCCCAGTGCATTAGTCTTTTGGATCACCACCAGCTGCACAATTACTTTATGGCACCAATTTACCAGTTATAAGCACAACCGGATTTGCAGAGGGTTTTACAGAAAAAGTGGAAATATTTCAGTGAGCAGCACTTCTGTGGGTGAAAATGTCTCATTAATGTCAGAGGACAATAGCTGGAGTGCTTCCAGCTGATAGGAAGGCAACAGTAACTCAAACAACCACATGTTACAACTAAGGTATGCAGAAGAGCACGTCTGAATGTTCAATGTGTTGAACTTTGAAGCAGAAGGGGCCCTCAGTATCAGCTGGTATCAGTTGGCCATCATTTAAACCCACAGTCTGATCACTTATTTCAGAGTGAAAACACACCTTCTGATGACTGCTTCCAGAAGGTTGACTCACCGTGTCATGAAGCTCAAATCATTTAAAGTGTTTTTAGACTGTGACAGGGAGTTCAGTGTACTCAAATGGGCTCCGAAGTCACAAGATCTCAGTCCAGTAGAGCACTTTTTGGGAACCGATTTGCACCACGGGTCAGCTGACATCTGCAGTAAATTGTGTGTGATGATGTGATGCCATCATGTCGATATCAAACAAACTCTGAGGAACGTTTTCAGCAGCTTGTTGAAACGGTGCCACAGAGAATTAACACCAAGCCAAGTGGGTACTAGCGAGGTGTAACTAATGAAATCTGCTGTTCAGCAAAATATTGATTTGAGTTTAAGCATAATAAACATTTTTGTTCATCAAAAGCTCAGAAAGTACAGTACCCTCAACAGATTAAAGGCAATGACATCTAAATGAAATCAGGGAAACTGTGTGTAAACCTTCCAATTTTCAGGTTTTGTGCTTTACCTCAGAAATCAGACTGCTTCACCCCCCAAAAGAAAAAACAAAAATTCCACATCTTATTTTGTTTCATGATTACGTTTTCCTAAAACAACCCAAAACTCTCAAAAATAAGAAACACGGAAACCCAAACAGTGCGGAATTCTTTTATTTTACTTTTACAGATTTGACAATTTATTCCAAGTTTCTTAACAGTGAACACATTCACTAAGCACAGCTACCAGAAACTACAAACAGTCCAGTTTTTCCAAATGTACACATGGGATCGGAGAGGAAACATCTGGTACCGGCTTCAGCATGTTCACACCAGTACCTCAAGAGCTGGGGAGGGGATGTATCTCTTTTTAAGTTAGTTTTGAACATTTCTTTAAAACGGCACAATTTATGCTAGTGCTGATGAGAACAATGGTAATTTATAATGTCTGAGTCATATCATACAGCCGATTCTCTCTTTAGTATGGAAATGCAGAGTGAATGAATGACATTTCTCTCCTGTTTGAGAGCCCAAGAGAAGCCCAGGGGAACAAGATGCTGCAGCAGCTCTGCTCAACTAAGAAAGTAACACGAACCACTGAATGAATGAAGATGCTTTTTGTTTTTACTCTGAAACTAGCTAATCCTTTGCAGTGTCCTCTGACTCTGAGCTTCATCTCTGACACCTGTGCCACACATCAACTTATAATGTTAACAAAGAGATGTTAGTCAGTCAGGACATTACCTAGAGGAAGGTCAACAGGCTGCACTTGTGTGAAAAGAACGGGGAAGTTTGATGGATTTCTTTTTACAGTCCATACCCATCTATCGTTTATCAGATTTCCTCTGCAGTGTTGAAAAAAAGTTCATTTTGATGTCTGTGACACCAACTGCAGGACCGAATGACACGCAATCAAAATAAAAAACACATTTCTATTCATTTTACAGTGAAAGAAAAAAAAAATACTGCACTGATAGAACAAAACAATGCCATAATGTTCGTTGATCATGTGTGTAAGTCATTCAGATAGCAAGTGATTCAGATAAGGCTTGGTCTACAATGTGCAGCTAAAAATCATGATACACTTCAACGTTTTTAAACATTCATATAATTGATTAACTCCTTCAGTAACCATCTTTCTTACGACTACAAGATATGTTCTCTTTGCACACAACATACACTAAACCAACTACAAATCCAACCAATATAACAAAAACATGGTCCCAGGAAAGTGCAACACAAAATAGCTTTACATAATTACTCCACTTAAAATTAGAGTTTGGCATTCGTACGTCACCTTGATAGTTTTTTCCCCCCCTCTGAATGTAAATTTTACATCCTTGAAAAGGTTTGAAAAATTTTAATCAAAACTGCAGAATCCAGTTCATGTGTGTAAGGAGAAAATATTCCATCAAAGTGAAATGTGTTTTTTGAAAGGGTAAGGTCACCGCGCAAAATAAGGTTCACATCAAGGCGAGAGGCAGCCTAATACTAACGGTACAACAAGAAGTAAACTAGAAGTGCCAAAAGACGAGGCAGCGAACAAAGGAAAAGCTGTTTTCACACACAAACTCTGAATAATGGCTGGTGAATCGGGTCACTGCATCCTTTTACTTCTTTTCCACTGTGCCCAGTCTAAACTGGTTTTATACATTTTCTCAAAAAGCACTTGTGCCCAACCCCAACCAGTGATGTCAGTGAATATAGGAGGGGCTATCACAAGAAACTGACCAATGACTGGCCTGATTTCTTCACATGGAAATGACCCAAAATCTGCTGGTAACACTGCATAATAACGGTTTCTCACACCTGCTGAAATGTGAGCTTATTCTCGGAACTGTTTTCACATCAGCACTGGTTCCAGTACTGCTGCCCACGTAAGTGGGAAAAGGGGATTTTGTTTAGGTGAGGATGCCACCTGGGTAATGTAGGAGGTTGGACATGATATACCCATTTAGCTCCTTTTTTTAACGTGAGCTGGCAGGTTAAATATATTAAATATCTCATGCAACTCTTCTCACAAATCCAGCAGATGCATGTGTGAAAACTACTTCAATCCCAACATGGGCAGATTACCAGACACTCGTCCGACACTTCACCTGTGCCTGGGTTTCTCTTCTTTAAAATCAAAAGCATGCACTTGGATTTTGCCAAACCCATGCAGTTTAAGTGGGGGCAGCAGGAGTAGCAGTGCATGCAAGCAAACAATCTGAGCTGAAAGAACATGTGCACCAACAACAAAATGACAAAAAACAAAACTTCTTTGTCACCCTTAACCCAGCTGTGAAACTGAGAAGAGGAATAAATGAACACATTCTGTTTTTCTGGTAATAAAAGTCCACGTTGGGACATGCTGAGTGAAGGTGGACGGGTAGGAGATGTAAGAGGAGTCGAACAGAGCTGTGTTTGTGAGAGGATGCAGCAGAGGGAATGTAAAGCTCAACAGATTTTTGCAGCCTTTTGCATCTATTCTGCTCAGTAATACATGGCTTTAGATTATCTTAAGAAAATAACAATACTGAACAAAGTAAATAATCACACAATGACAACAGTAAAACATTTTTATGGCTCTGAGCCAGAAGACAAGAAAAAAAAACAGTAAGCAGAGTGTAAGGTTGGTACTCATACAGTATGTGTTCATGTCAGTGTTTCCTGTGACCCTCGGCTTTGGTCACAGCTGTAAACGGTGCAGACTGTCGCAGGTTAAACCCTTTGCAGAGTTTGAACCTTAAACCTTCTCAATCTGTCCTCGCCTATAAAACCTGTGCTACACTTCATCTGCCAGACATGCAGGCTAAACATGACAAAAAAAATATCTCAAGGTTTAAGACGCGACCTAACAAATAATTATCTGTGCCGGCACTCATTAAAGATACTACATATTTACCTGATATTGACATAATAGCCAAGGAAGCAACTAAAACTGTCTCTAAGAAGCTGTTTGCCGTGGGAAAGAGTGGTCCCATCCTTCACTTCGGACACATTCGCTGCAAGGGGGAAGCTTCTAATCTTAAAAAGGGATGTAGCTATAAGTGCAATAAATAAAATACAGGATATATATTATTCATATTTATATAGATATTTATTTATGTATAAATAATATAGTACAGATGATGAATTTTGTCTTGGCTTGACGTGTTCAGAGAATAAAACGTACAAAGTGAAATCTGCTCAGTGGTCACCTCAACACGGGGTGGAGAGAGCGCTGACTTTTTCACCTCATCATTCAGCTGCCCTCACACAGGAGCTCAGAATTTACCCAACATGAGGGCGGACTGCTAGACTGACAAATCATAACTTGTTTTGAGGCTTCAGCTCCACCTGGTGGGCCTGCTCTCGTGTATCGAGACAATAACAACAACAACAACAACAACTATCTTAACGATTACTGGAAACGCAGATGAAGGATCGATGGCGAGTACTGGAGGCATTGATCTGGTCCTGTGGCTTCTCTAAGAGGCGGGCGTTTTGTACAAGCAGCGGATGATGCTCAGGGCTTACGGCCAGATTTAAACCAGCGGAAATAACCACATGTGTGCGTATCTGTGCGTTCGTGAAAGAGAGAAGGCGAGTGTGCGTCTGTACGTTCGGAGGATGAAAGTACTTTACAGATGTGACGTGTCTGCATTTTTCATGTATGTGCGTGCATGTCTGAGTTTAAACTAGAGAAACTGCTGAACCCTTTCACCCGTTTATTTAAACATGACTTCAAATCGTGTTAACGTGAGTGAAATTTGCGAGTGTTTGTGGTGTTTTAAATTTTTCGGGGAGACGGTGACTTGCAAATCCGACTGTGGCCACTAAGACAAATTCGCCGCAGGACTCAGAGTGCTCTGGTGGGCTCGCATTAGACACGGGTGAGGAAGGCCAAGTTAAGCGAGCTGGGGATCTGGATGGTTTCCAGTGCGAGGCAAGAAGGGTTAAACGGGAAGGTGACGGGATAGATCATCTTCGTGTCCATCAACAGCTGGGGACTCTCACAGCGGTCCCGCAAGCGAGTCTGGAGAGAGAGATGATGGAAAAAGTTCATGTGCATTAAAAAAAAAAAAAAAAAGGTAGTAGACAGAAAATATATTAAGCCAGTCTGTTTGAAGACTCGACAAGTAAGAAAAGTTATCTTGGTGCAGAATCGATTGCATGAACTTTAGTTCGTAAATACCGATCAGTGCAGTGACTCAGATCTGAGAGGACCCTTGAGCTCAACATAGTGCCTATGGGAAGTGTCAGGGAACTGTACTTGTTATCAAATTTACAGCTCTCTTATTACAAGATAGCTACCACTAAAAAGTAACCTGTTACTTTAAAAATAAATTATATAAACACCGTCTTTGCAATTATCTATCCAGCTACTGTACATAGACTTTACTTCACTTCACAGTGAGTCGATCTTGGCAGCACCCCCTCCACCACATAAACAAGCGCATTCATTTCCATCAGAGCGACGGCTTTAGGCAAAGCCAAAGCTAGCAGTTGTGGTTTTGGAGCTGTAGCTACATATCATTCTCTTCCTCACCAGCATTGTTGCGAATGTAGTTTTAACTTGACGTTACTTCTGACATATTTCTCTCACATGACATATATTAGCACAAAGGAAACTGAATATAAAAGCCATCCCCATCCAATGCTGACCTTAACATGCACGCTGACACTGGATGCATTCATCTCTGCAGCTGTGTTGCTTGGCGTTTCAGTTACTCAAGCAGAACAGAAGTTTCTGTTTATCAGATGCCCAGAAACGCCAGAAAAATGCTGATGTTTTTCAAAGCAGCACACATTCATTGCCTTTACGGTACATGCACTAGTTAACAACAACAGGTGTCTCAAAGACCTCACAATATTAGTGACAAAACCCAAACAATCAGACAGTTTTCTACGAGTGACCGCTTTGAGGAAGAACTTCCTTTTAACAGGAAGATAACCCGGGCAGAGCCAGCCTCACTCAGCTGCAGCTTGCCTGGAACCAGGAAAAAAAATGACCCCAAAACACTGAAGATAAAGCAGTATAGACTTGATTTAGCCAAAAAAGAAATTACCTGTATGGTTCGTATGAATGCGACTGACACTCTCTCCTCAAACTCGTTGACGGGGGTGTAGAGGTTCAGGACTTTTACGATCTGAAAGACATAAGACCGAAAAGTTAAAAACACAGAAAGAGAAAGGTTTTAGCTGAAGCTTTAGCTGATAATAATTTTAAAAATATTTTACCTGAGCAGTGGTGAGAGCGTGGCACATGGAGCAGATGGCCTCTGCATCCTCGTCAGTCTTCTTCTTCACCTGTAGCAGCTGAGCAGCCTGGATCAGAGGCTCCAGCGTCTCTTTGGCTCCGCAGGTCATCAGACCTTTGTCTCTGAGCCACTCCTCCAGCTGACTCACATTGTACCTGCAAACACGCATGATGAGATAACGCATCCGGCCTCACTCTGGAGATCTTCTCTGAGCAGCGACACCTCATACCTGATCTGCATGCCTTTGCTCCAGGAGCACATGTCTTTGCGTAGCAGCAGGTTGTTGAGTGTGACAGCGCCGATGATGTAAAACTGCTGCTTCACCACCTGCTTGATGAGCTCAGGGTCGGTGCCGTGCTGGCACATGGTGGAGTGGAAGGCGCTGAGCTGACGCAGGATGGAGTCCAGGGTGTAGGTGCCCTCGTCGGCAATGCTTGACGTCCGTTTACGCAGACCCGTGGGCTTAACTCCTGACACGCCCTGAATGGTCTCGTGCTCCAACATGCCAGAGACTGAGGAAACACACGCACACAGGAGGTGTATAAGTACATGTGCTCTACCCGCTTGTTAAATGATGACCAACTGACCCTGATTATAAGTTCAACCCTCTCAGCATGTACTTACTTCTTTTGCATCGAGTCTTGTGAAAACTATATGTCAGCCCAACTACATCTCTGTAGCTAGCTGTGGGTGCCTGAACATTTTATGGCAACTTCCTAACTTCACCAACCATCTAAAATCTTACTATTTTTAAATCCTCGTCTATAATTACATTTATAGCAGTAAAATTATAGTATCACATGGATTTATTTCAGAAATTCCTCAGCTAGAATTTAGCATTTTTTCTTTATTTTGATAGCTTACAGTTATGGCTAACTCCTAACTGCACCTCGTAAATCCTCTTTTTCATGGATGCGCAACTGTAACATCAGTAAGAGCAGATACAGTGAGTACTTTGGACCATATTGAACTGTCAAAGGTGTCTTAAAGCTTGTTTGCATAAAAGAACCAAAGGAGCAGGAAATTACTTATCAAGTGACACACACACATCACATGTACAGGGACAAACCTATCATGGGCTGGAGGATGTTCTCCATGCATTTGATCAGCTGCTGGTAGATCTGGATGGCCAGGTCGCTGATCACTTGTCTGTACTCTGCGAGGTCGAAGTTGGACAGACAGTGCTCGTTCTGCCTCGACGTGTTGTGTTTCATGAATTGCTGAGACAAGCACAGAAAACAATGTGTCAGAGAAGGTGAACGATGTCAATATTAATCCACGACACAGTCGGTCAATACAAAAAACAAACAAACAATCAAAACAACAGCTTGTTACGTCAAGCTTTATATTTTTTGTCCTTTTGGTCATTTTTAACAGATTAGTATATAAAGGACTGTAACAGCAAGATAATAAAAGAGATTCCTTCTTTCCCGAATATCTAAATACAGTGATACCAGATGTCTTATTGAACTGACTAGAAAAACCTTGTATGTACTGGAATGGGACATTTTCTGTGTTTTGTGTATTGTTGTTGGCCTCACTTCGTCTCCGCTGTACTGTTTCAAACAGTGCAGGAAGCGGCAGGTGTTGGCCAGCCAGAAAGAGACGGTCTCAAAATCATCTCCTCGTTTCTGATGAAGAAGAAAACATCAGCAGAAGTTTGTGTTCACTGCAGAACCTTTTTTAGTTATCTAACGCAAAAAAACATCCAAAAATGTAATTTAAGAACAAAGGAGCTGGAAACGCAAAATGTGAACTTCATTCAAATATTAAAAGCATACGTACCTTTAAGATCTTTTTAATGCTGTTGATGGTTGACGTGAGCAGAGTGCGGACCTTCTGGTCATCGTTGACGTAGTCTGCATGTCTCAGACACATGAACAGGATGTAGGCTGGCAGACCTGGGATCAGATTCACTGCTACACCACGAGGTTTTAGTTCTGGAGAGATGGAGGAGGGGTGAGTTTATCTGTAGATTTTATTTTGTGCAAACCGTGAATTGAGGCTTCAGTTTCCAGGGAGTTTCAGTAATTTCAGGACTCCTTTCCATCTACTTTAATGCTTTAGATAGTGGACTATATCATTAATTCTAAATTCTTACCCAGGATGAGGTTCTTAACCAGTTTCATTTCATCCTCCTTCTTGTACTCTAGCATTCCCTGGAAGTCTTTCTCCCTGCGAGGAATGTTGACAGGGTGGATCGGCTCATCCACCATCTGTCCCGGAGATGTCTGGCCTTCGGTTTGACCGGCTGGAAGAAGCATGGCATGTGACAGTCAGCTGACATGTGGTGGAAACGAGCATATATGAATAGAGATTTTCAGGCTTCGGTTTTTCTCGCTTTACCTCCCATCTCTCCAATCCTCTTGGAGTAAACTTTCAGCTGCTTCTTGAGCTTTCGGATTGTTCTGTCCTGCTTCTCTAGCTGCTCCATTAGATCCTAAAAACACAGCGAGGGACACAGAGGAGAGAACAGTGAGGACTAACAGACAGCATCATCAGACACAGACCGCTTTGCAATGTCGCCCTCCAGTGGCTACAAGGAGGAATCCTACTCTTCTGTTAGTGGCTTTGCAGTGGACATCAGCTCAAACACGGAAATCAAAAGGTTAGAAGATGAAGAGAAAAGAATTTAAAAACTTCCTTGGTGTGATTTATAAATCAACATTAGTGCTGCCGTACTGGTTTTTGTTTTGGGGTTTTTTTCAGAGGAAGATTGCAGGATTTTTTGGCTGTTAGGAAAAAGAAGAAGGCGCAGTGCTGCTCTGCTGTGAGTTACAAGACACTGTTGCAGAGAATTAGAGCGACACCCTGCAGCATTTCATTCAGAACAATCTCAGTTAGTCAGAAACGTGCAAACACGCAGGCAAACACACACGCGGTCTCTACATACAACCATCCGCCGTAAAATGACGACTCGAGCCTCTCGGGATGCCGTGGGGTCGTCTGCCATGAGTTCCTGTCAGGTGACACCATCCACACAAATGAGCGTGTGGGACGCAGCTCTGTAGCGGCTGGTTTAGTTTGTGTATGTATGGCCATGAAAGTGACTCAAATCACACAGTCGAAATGCTGTTATTCACATTTCTACCACTGGAAGAGTTTTTAGCCGTGGTCTTATTATTAGTGATGTAACGTATTAGTCAAATGAGCTGTGGCCATCTTTACGGATAGTGTAATATCCACACTGTTGACCGTCCCCCAAAGTCTTCGTAGTCCCAGTTTTCTCAAACCGTGGGGTGGAATGATTATTTCAGAAGCGTTGGTTGGGGGTGTGACCTTTTCTCAGTGGTGTGTGGTAATGTATTTACAGCAAATTAAAATTATTCTGTGGGTTTTTGGCCTGTTAATAATAAATAATGTGATTGCAGATTTAATATGAGTGTAAGATATACAAATTGTCTGTAGCTGTCAGTAGTTATATGGATATATATCAAGAAAAGTTTGTGTATACACACACCTAAAATCCATTCTTAGGTGTGTGTATAAGTGTGTTGTTTTTATTTTTATCATTTAAAAATTATGCTGAATTTGTGAGACAAAGTTTAGCTCCTCCCCGTATCTATGTGTGGAAGCTGCAGCGTACCAGGTTCTCGTTGGTGAGCCGGGTGATCTCGTGTTGCAGACTGGCTTCGATTCTGGCCTCTGGAGGCAGCTGCAGATTCTGGGCTAAGAGCTGCTGCTGCCGGTTGTTCTCCTCCTTGACGTTCTGCAGCTCGCTGCGCAACGACTCCACCTCATTATCATAAGTCCTCCGCTGAGTCTGCAGCTGGTGCTCCAGTAGCCTGAGAGAGGTAAGAGAGAAAGAGACAGAAATCAGCATCATACTGCGAGGGGGAGAAAGGCAGTGAGACGCCCAGTGCAGAAGGGAAAGAGAAGCTGTAGTTTCCACCAGAAAGTGGTGATTGAGGACAGCAGCAGCATGCTGTGCAGACACTACCAGCAGCCCAGAGTCCGGCCTTTCTGAACAACGCTCATTCATTCTCCTCCTCTCTTCAGAGTAAAAGTTTCTCTGAGGAAAACTGAACCGAGCCAAATCAGTACTCAGAGATCAGGCTCAGGAACGGAGCAGGTAGAGCTGACAGAGGTTCAGTTTTCATTCAACAACCAACATGCAGTATTTCTATCTTTTTATGAAAACTACAGTAGCAGTTAGTACAACAGGAGCACTTCATACGCTTTATTAAAAAAGAACTTTGACTGCCTTTCTTGGTGGATAGACATTGTTTTTCTGTTTTTCCATCAATTTCTCTGATGCAATCCTTTCTTGCTGATGCCTTTTAGGGATCAGTCATTTTATGTACTATAGTTTATACAATGACTTCTATTCTTTTACTAGTTTTTATGATCCAATTGTTTTTCTGCATGCATAAATCATTTTATAATACATCTGTACGAAGATGATTAGCAGATATTTCTTCTTGAGAGTTTGTCCAACCAGTCTACATGTGTTGACTGGTTGGAGAAGACATTCGCCCACATTCCTCGAGGTGTCCTGTGCTTTGGGAATATGTGGCTATCGGCTGTGGTGGGGATTGAACTCGTGTGCAGCCGCCTGTTTGTCACTGATCCTAAACCGTTTTTAAGGTTATAGTAGTCTGGGTTTTATTTCTAAAACTTGTTAAAATATTCCTCTGGATGTGTTTGAACTCTTTATTATGTATTTAAAGTACTGCACGCACACACATCACAGTGCAACCCCCTCAGAGAAAAATAACTGCTCCATGACACTACCAGACCTCTCAAGATTTAAAGGCAAACACTGTAAAAAATAAAAAGCATGCAGAAAGTGATTAACCTCAGTCAATGTCTGTGAACAACACTTAAGAGTTTTTTCACAGCTTTTTAACGATAGTAAGCAGTTATTGAGGAAACACTTGAGTGGATAAAAATTTCAGCCCATCTAACTTCACAAGCCGAAGGCATCACAGCATAAAAGGAAGAAAAATTCCAAGGTCAACTGACATTTAACAAGCTTTCATAGCTGCATAAAACATGGTTAGTACAGTACGAAGACACATCCTGCTTCACTGTCAGAAATAAATCTAGAAACTCAAACCAAAGCTTTGCATCAGTGACTGTACATTACACAACACCTAAAGAAAGTTTTACATTATAGCACCCTGCGAAGTGTGTGGCAGAAACAATAAGGAAGACAAATAATCAGAAGGCAGTCAAAATAAACAGACTGATGTGAGAGAAATGAAGTGTGAGAGAGAAACGTGAGCGAAGAAAACCAACGGGTCACATCCTTTCCCGTGAAAAAAGGCAAACGTGTCATGCTCAAAAACACTGTTAAACCTGATGGTCTCCTTCAAGCCCTGATTAACCAGCCACAGCTCTCCGTCCTCATTCAGCTTACGTAAGTCTGGAGCAGCAGATCTGACCGACACACAACACAAAGCAACATGAACATTACAATGGCACAAAGAAACGTGATCGGGTGAGCGGGACCACATGAGCAAGAATATTTATCTGAGGTGTGATAACATCCTGCATCTGGTCTTCAACACAAAATAACAATAATACTAATTTGTGTGAGGTCATAAAGTTAAAGGAAGAAAACCTGTAAAACCTGATGTACTGATGATGTGTGAAGTCCTATTTCTGACTCAATGCATTTCAGTAATACATTAAAGTGCACCTATTCCGCTCGTTTCTAACCCCTTCTGTCTTTTACAACAGCTGCATCAATCTTGCCGCCTCATTAACAAGGTTAGAACAGCAGGTGGCGCTTCTCTGCCTGAAATGACCAAATTAGAGATAACTACTTTCACAGGGATCACAAAGAGTAAAAAAGACAAAGGAACATCTGGAACAGAGCCTTTAGTGTCAAACCTGAGATTATGGTTGACAGAGATGAGATGGACATATGCAGACCTCATTACTGTAACAGTATGTGCACAACAGAAAATAAAGAAAAAGTCCACTTTAATCATTTATTCAACCACTGCAGGTAACAGTGGTATAAATCTACTGATGTGAATTAGCAGTATTTTATATGTGTGTGAGTGAATGAGTTTGTTCTTGCATTTACTGAGTGATCCAGTGACCGAACTTTGTAGTCAGTGGGAACAGAAAAGGTCAAGAAATGGGACATAAACAGAGGGATGAATGCAGCGATACAAAGTTGAACTTTTAGGGAAGCTCTACTGTAAAACAACATTGTCGCTGTAGATATTTATAATCTGATCTCATTGATCTTATCAGCTGTCAAACATTTGGCCTCATTCAATAAAAGGTGCACGTGTTACTGTGCACAGTAATGTTTAAACTTGCAAGATTACTTTCAAATTTAGCTCCCGCCGCCTCCGTGTGCACATCCAAATCATTCTATATTGAATGGCATGTGGCTGTTTTTTGCCGTCTAGAAACTGTCATACTCCGTTTCTCTATGAAGTCGAGAGTGAAAAGGGAAGCACGGTTGCTAAAAAAACAAAACAAAAAAGTAAAGGGAGTGAGAGCTTTGAGGTAGAAGCCAGAGAAGGCACACTTTTCTGAAGTGTTTCCTTAGGAGCGAAAAGCTTGGACTGCAATAGCCGAGGCAGTAAATATTGTGTCTCCAGAGACTTGGAGCGAAAGGTGACACGGGCAAAAGTTTCGACATCAGAGCTGCGGTGAAAACTTGGAAACAGACCAGAAGAAAAAGGAGGCAACGGTGAAGGACGAGCACCACCTGATCCATCACCCAAAGCCATTTATTATGCCGAAGTAGCATTTAGTAAAGAGGCGATGTTAACTGTCAATTAGGATGATCTCTATTAAATTAATTGTGCCAAATATGCTTGGATTATTTATTTTTTTAATAAAGCCACCTTAATATGCTACGCTTTCGGCAAAAATGTGTGAGACAGAAAGGCCCTCATGATAGTCTGAAGCTGCTGTAAACCAGCTTTCAGGAAAAAAAAATATGGATGAATTTGGGATTTCTGCACGAAACGTTTGAAATGTTCACACGCAGATTTGTGAATGAGGCCTAATGTCTGCACTGTTCTGAAGCCAGTAAAATTATTATGAGGAAAAGTAAATTGACTTAACATTTTAAAATACAGAGATTGTAACATTTTACCCTTTTCCATTTTAGTTGTGCACACAGACTGTATATAAAAGATGGAAGCCCTGCTGTGACGTGTTTTGAACTTTACTATCTTCGTGTTTTGAAATTGGATGAGCAGGGGTCAAATCTAATTAACTCTTTAAAGCCTGAACCATTAAATAATAATTACCAGAAAATTTACATTTTTTGAAAATGGAAAATTCTGTGTTGAACTTTGTGACAAAATTTTTAAAAAGATTAGAAATTAAATATTAATTTGCAAACATGAGCTTTAATTTTTGTCATATTTGCTACATCAGGTATTTTTTTCGTGCAATGTATTGTGTAAATTAATTTGTTTTTTTGGAGAGTGGAGTGGGGAAATCACAGTGATACAACATGTGCAGCATATGAGGTCTGAATAATAATAAGACTTGAATCAAGTGTTGAGACAAAAACCCCAAAAAACATCAGAAAGGTGCTCATGTGGCCATTTTCCAATAGATTTCTCTCTACAGTAACTTTTTTGCAATCAGCAGTCAAATGTTTGCAAACCTCTTCTGCATCTCCTTCCTTGCTGCCTCCCTCCTTTATATACAGTCTGTGGTTGTGTGTAAATGCACGCTTCCTTACAAGTACGCTGTGCATCGCTGTTTTAGCGTAATAATGAAAACAATTAAAACATAAATGAATCATTTCATGCACCATTCATGCCAAACTCCTTCTATAAAGCTGAGGCTGAAGCTCTACATCGGGATCTAAACTGTGGCACGGTTAGTCACTTTGGGCGTAAAAGTCAAACCGAAACTCAAAGCCATCTCCCTCGCTGCTCAGATACTTTCATGCTGTTAAGTGAAGCAGGTCCTGCAGTAACTACAGCACCGTGAATACAGAGATAAAGTCACAACAACTGTAGAGCCACTAAAGTTACAGAACTCTTGACCCATGCAAACCATTTTCTCACTTCCCTCATGAGCCACATAAATATTCTTGATGTCAGTAAGTACAGCTACATATACACAACGTCCTCTTTCTGTTAGGCCAAAACAGAATCTAATACTTTATTTTGCAGCGTGTTCTCACTCCTGCACGTCAAATATGCCGTTTTTGCCGTCTGTCCACCATTATGTACAAGAAGTTACAAAGACCTGCTTTAGGAAGCTGAAGGGTTAATCATCCAGAAAATGTCTTCACGTCCTACTTCACTTTTTAAAACCTTTTTTCACTTTCTTTTTTTAAACGTTAGAAGTCAGTCATATGCATATAGTATTAAAGACAGAAAATTAGGGGACTAGATTAGTTTATCCTAATAAAGTTCTTTCATCCTAAACATAGTTCATCGTAATGAAAATGTCTTCATGAGCTTTAGTTGTTTATTTATTACTCTAAAGGGCAGACAGATGCAGCAGTATTATATTTTTCAAACAAGTTCAAAACAAAAAAATCAATATAAAATTAACATCCATCCATTTTTTTTCAGTATTTTCAAAATGTTCAAATGTTCAATTTCACACATTTTTTTGGAACTATTTTTAATCGATTAAAGGATTTTTTTTGTTCAATTATTTCTGTAACATTTTTCTATCCGTCATATTTTTCAAATCCAATCGGCACACTTCACAAATAAATAACACTGAACCTAATCAGTCAGCTAGTTTCCAATCAGTAAGACGAAATTACAGATCAGGCCCACAATATACCAAAATGATGTGAACTTTTCTTTTCTCCTTCATCTTTCCCTTTCAGTTTTACTGGAAGATTTGGTTTAGACACTGAACACATTAGTTTTAGGAAAAACTAACGATGAGTTGGGTAAGACACGCCGGCGGCATTATTTGACGCTGTGATAATGAAAATAGGCGCGTTATTCATCATGCTTTTAGGGCCAAAAAAATGTTACGCTCTGCTGCTCAAGCTTTCATCAGCACTACAGACTGAAATCAGCTGCAGTAACATGTCATTTATAACCCAGTATTTCAGCGACAGTGTGGCCATGCATGCTCTACTCCACGATGCATCGGCCACGTCTCATCGGTTACCTCAGCCTACTCAGGAGATCACTGACTTCCAGCTGCTGACGCATGAACCTAGGAGATCTGACAGGACAAACAGGGATTCACACACACAGCGCTCACACATACACGGTATCATAATGGCACTAGAGCATACAAAGGTTGATGTGAGCCAGTGGAGGACAATGAGTAAAGACATGGAGGTGAGGAAGAGAAGTGGCTGTAAGAAAGTACCTGTTGGTGTCTTTGAGGCCTACGTAAGCTTGCTTGACTTCGTCGTCCTTCAGTTTGGACACGTCATCTTTATACACTGAAGGCTCCGTCATGGTCTCCTGGAAATAAGCAAAGAGACAATAGAGAAACAATACTTGTCACTTGTGATCAAAAGTTTTGATGTTTTTTGGGATACATGACTAAGAACCATTCACCTAATGAGACACTGGTAGCCAGAATATATGTATATCTGATACATATAATATTTGCATCTACAGTACTGCGGTTATCGCCTTTTTTTTTTTTTTTAAAACCATCTGAAACAACCTTCAATCAATTTTGTTCAAGTATTCATGACTAGGGATGGGTATCGAAACCCGGTTCTTGTTGAGAACCGGTTCCCACTGTTTCAATTCCTTGGAATTGTTTGCCATTTTTGCAAACGATTCCCTTATCGATTCCAGTCGCCCCGAATGACATCACCACGTTGCGGAGCGTCATTTACCTGGCAGGGAACACGGCGCCTAAGCGGTTCACATGCTCAAAAGTTTGGTTATACTTTACGAGAACGGATGACAACAGGGCAACTTGCAATACTTGCAAAGTAGATATTTAATTTAAGGGAGGAAACACTACGAATATGCAAAAGCATTTGCTCACAAAACACGCGATGACCTTAAATGAATGTCGTGTTTTTAAATCCGCTCCGGACTCGTGAATCTCAGCCCAGCAGCAGCGGTAACGTTTGCACGTCCTCTCCCGTTAATGCGGCACGTAAATAATCAACTAACAGTGCATATTATGTTAGCGCGATCTGCCTTATTACAAAACCTGCCATTACTGTGCATTTAGGTGACCATGATGAGAGAGACAGACAGAGTCTGGCTGCCTCAGATGCTGGCAGTTCTCGCTGCAGTCTACCGGTAGCGTCTCCTTTCAGGCCAGGATAGACGAATGTCACCGAGCAGTGACTCAGTTTGTGGTAAAAGGCTGCCACAGCAGATGCCCCCGATTTCACTTTGGTAAGTGAATGTGTTTAATTGTAGGCAGGGACATTACTGGATATTCTTGTGTAATTGCTACAGAATAATTTATGTTACACTTTGTTATTGCTACAGGAGAATATTTATTTTATTATTTTACATTTACAATTTTTTTTCCTGGGGACCCTGTGACACCCATTGAAGAGCCGTAGGCTGGATCTCTTAAGATCTCACTGTTGGGTTTGTAAGGCCATGTTACTCCTAAATTTCTACCTTGTTCAAAGAGAAGATATAAAACAAAGTTCTAAGCTAATCGACCTTAATGTTCTCCTTTTTTAAAAATAAGAATCGATAAGAGAATCGAATCGTTAAACAGAATCGAAAATGGAATCGGAATCGTTAAAATCTTATCAATACCCATCCCTATTCATGACAAACTCATATTATTCAAAAACCACAATTTCAACTTGCAGGGAGCTTTCATACTGAAGTACAACACACACACACACACACACACACACACACACACACAAAGGACAAGACAAATGTACAATACACAGGTGAAGACAGTGTCTGATTATAAATATGACTATTATGTCTTGACTCTTTAATTTTACTTCTTTTAAATTATCTGTTCTTTTCCTTTCTCTTAATTTTGTAAATAAATACTGCTTGGTGTCAGATGAGCCCCAGTCTCCTCATAAATCTGAACTTGATCTGATATTAAAGTGATTTAGATCTGTTTACACCTCATTATGTTGTATTGAACAGTTAGAGTTAAGGGCGGCTTAAACTCTGAATTCATATTAACATTTAAAAGCAGAACCTCTATGCTTCAGTCAGATATCCATGCTATTCAGGTAAATATTTATATATTATATAACGCTCCACTAATTCTACACATGTAATTGTAGCCAAATATGAAATTTTAAAATCTATTACTTATGTCTTCTTAAACTATTACTTTTTAGCACATCTATACTGATCACAGATTCACTGGCCACACATTTAAATGATGCTCAAGTGGTACTAAAGGGCCTAAAGTGTGTCAAGAGAATATATTTCGCACACCACCACCAGCCTGAACTGTTGATACAAGGCACAATGGGTACATGCTTTCCTGTTATTTTGCACCAAATTCAGAATTTTCTGAACATAATTTCCTCTGGGATTAATAAAGTATTATACTTTATTAGGTATTAAAATAAAGTATAAAGTATTTTCACTAGTAAATTTGTGTATATCAGCTTAAAATTAAGCAGGCTGTCTTGACTATGTCTACACCCCTAAAGGCACTGAGCTGCTGTAATGTGGTCGGTTGGATATTTGATTAACAAGCAGTTAAACATCTTTGTACCTAACAAAGTGGCCATTGAGGGTCTATCCAATATTAAGCTACACTGATTCAGTTATCTTTAGCAAAGGATTTCTCACTTATTTTCAGATTCTTACCCACTTACTTAACTTTGTATTACAACATTTTATAACCGGTCATACTTGCTCCACACGGAAATATCAGTAACTTCTTTGACCTTTCTACTTTAGTCTTCAATTTAGGTTACAAATGTTCACACAGCTTCAAGAGAACGGGACTTAATGTGTTTCACTGAGTGTGTGAAAGCAGACAATGGCAGCGAGTCGCATCTCTTCATTCCAAAAAGTTAAACTAATGCAGAATAAAAGACAATAAAACACAACTGAATCAGGAAAGCAGTTGTTTTATGTTGTTTTTCATTGCTGATAGCGTCCTCGCTGAAAATGGAAACCAGAATAAATGCTGTAATTCTGTGTTTCACTGAGATGCCTGAGGATGTTTCATACACAGCACAGACCATGAAAAAACATGTCAAATACTCGTGGTTGATGCCATTTTTCAACTGTACCTTCTCATCCTGTGGGGAAGCATGAATGGAGGAGAGAAGGTGGAGACGGAGCAGTTAGGCACGATGGACAGGTTGAAGCATTGTCAATACGCAGTGTGAACAATGATTTTACCCCCAAAAAGAGTTCACGTGTCGAATAAATAAAGACTCGTTTTACGATCCTAAGCTCAATGAAGTTTTAGTTTTAAACACAACAAGAGTTATAACTTAAAATTAGAAAAAAATTCTTTGGGTCAATTGAGTTGACCCATTTTTTTGTTATCTGCTTACTAACAACAACAACAAACGCAGACAGAGATGAAAACACACAAATATGAGAAGGTGGATGTAAAAAAGCAGCATTTCATCCACCTTCACAGTTATGAGACCTTGTAAAACATGACAACATGCCAAACACATGTTTGTTTTTCTCTAATTGAATGTGAACAAAATAAAGAATATCAAGTGCTACCTTGTGGTGCATGGCCTCCTTCTGACTGACCAGCTGGGAGCGCAGGATTAGCACCTCCTCCTTGCGGACCTCCAGTTCCTCACAGGAGGCGTTGAGCTGTTCCAGGAGCACCTTGTAAGCTGGCGAGCCCGGAGCACCGGCGCCCGTAGCAGCGTTACCGAGCAGACTTTTCCTCATCTCCTCCAGGTCATGTTTCAGCTTCTTGTTCTCTGACTCGAGCTCCTGACGCTGAAAGATGAAGTTACAGTCAGGAATACGAGCAGAAAATTTGACTTTGTTTTCATTTGCTGTATAAGAAGCATTGATGATGTCATTCAGAGGAGTGAGTGGAAGTTAGGACACCTATGGTCATGTTACTTACCTTCAGGGACTCGTACTCCAGCTCAGCCCCACGAGCCTGAAACGAAAACACGTTTATATACTTTTAATCTGTAGTGATAATTATTCATGTAGATGATTTTGGTCTGAGTTGTATTTTTTTTACCATAACCGTCAAATTTATTTTATAAGTATTGAGGAAGACCTGAACCTGAACAAGCTCTAATTATATTCTATATCATCTCAAATATCCATTATCTGACTGAACTGCATGTTAACAGACCTTTCAACTTTTGGTTTTAGATCATCTGTTTTTCAGTGAGTGCAGTGAAAATGGGTGAAGGTACCATGGCACTAGCCCGCTGCAGCTGCTCCTCTCTGTTTTCCAGTTCGTTGCGCAGCAACTGCTTGTCTTGCTCCAGCTCTGTGACACGTTTCTGCAGCTTGAGAGTTAGCGAGGTGTCGATTCCTCGTGTCACATCCTGCATGTGAGAAGAACGATTACGAATGTGCCACATGAAACGTATTGAAATGCAAATGCTGAAAGCACATAAACATCAACTATAATAACATTTTCAAACACTAATATTAAACATCTCCTAACTTGTGTTCCAGTTAGGGTTATGCTTCACTTTAACTTTAATGATTTGTTTCCCTAATGGTTGAAACTCCATCTTCAGATCACAATTAATTTTCTTACTTCGCGGCCACGGGTACCATCTTCCAACTCGGCGTACTCGGAGTTGTACGTGTACTCTGATTCGTTGCTGCTGTGGGTAGAATCTGTTCTCCTGTGGCCAGGCTTCGAGACGTTCTGCAGACAAAAGAGGAAATAAGCCTTTTAATTTGAACAAGTACTGACTCGCACTCACTCTGCTGCGCTTGCAGATTAAAAGTGCAGTTAGGCACTGAACACTACCAAGCATCTGCCTTCCACAGAGTCTATGAAGAGTCAGTATTTCTGCTGTTCTCACCTTTTCTGAAAGCTTAACATTTAAACAAAGGTGTAGAAATGTGGCTCATTGCTCGCAGTACATGAGCAAATGTGTTGCTCACCGAAGAAAGAGCCATCTCCTCCTTGAGGTCGTCGTATTTCTCCTCGAGGCGAAGGTGTTCGCTCAGGAGATTCTGGTAGCGAGAACGCTCCTCGTTCAGGTCGGTCTCCAGCTGTTGAGTCTCCTCTGCTATCGCACGAGTCATTTTCTCTGAGGGGTAAAACATAAAGAACAAGTCGTTTCAAACTTTGCAAAGATGAAATTAACTGAGCTGTTGGATGTAACTTAAATGTATGCGGTGATGCGTACCTGTCATCTGCTGACTCTGTTCCTGAATCAACCGATTCAAGTCGTCCTTCTCTTTCTTCAGCAGCCCGTTCTGATGCTTCAGCTCTGCCACCATCTAAAAACACACAAATGTGATCCTTACATCACAAATGATTAAACCTTTCTTACAGAACATACTGTGTGGGACACATTTGTTGCTGAGATTTTTTTTAAACTAGACTCTTAGATTTGTGAGAATAATCTCATGAAATGAAATGTAATGAGAGATGTTATGATAGCGCTGCAATGAGTCTGACTCGGTCTGTGCTGTTCTCCAATGTCTCTTTGCAACAGGGGAGTCAACTCAACTGTGTGCAGTGGTGTGGGTTATTTTTCTATCTAAAAGCAACATTTCCAACAATTACATCCCTTTAAATCTAAATCTATGTCCTGCAAAAAGCACATCAGTATTTTTGGAGGGATTTCACTCTAAGGGAAACTAAACATAAGTAAAAACAATAACAAAAATATGTATCTTTGATACAGTAGCTCAACCCGCTAAAAGTACTTTGGCCTAATGAGCAAAAAGAAAATTAAAAATACGAAACTATCACAACTCTTTGGGTCTTCAGTCTAATAGCCTTCACTGGCAACAGTGTAAAGAAAGACAAAGCAATGTAAACTAGAGAAAACAACACACACACCAGCTGTCTCACTAAATCACTACTCTCCTGTGCTCACCTGCCCTGGGGCAATACCGCCCTCTGAGCCCACCATGTGCCCCTCTCCCCCCGGTTCGCTCTGGCTCCTGAATTGCCAATATGTGTAGTCAAGCAAAAAAGAACACACAGTTTTGTGATAAACATGATATATTTCTCCTGGAGACTACCGGGGACTTTACTTATTAGGGGTCACTGTTGATTCTAGCTTCAAACTAATAATGTGGATTTTTGAAGTAGTCTGAGAGACATGAGAAAGAGGAGGGGAAAGAGAGGCGGCGAAAAAAAAGTGATGTGATTAAATTCATCCGCAGCAAGCGAGCGTTCAGTATGCAACCAAAATATGTGGAAATTAATAAAGGAAGAGAAAGAAGTGAATGACAATGAAGAGAAATATGAAGATGCTAAATATTCATGGTGGACAGAGATGCGTCAGTGGCTCCTGTCTTACTTTCTCCATTTCGTCCCTGTAACTTTGTGCCCAGTCCTCGATGGTCTTCTTCTCCTGCTGCGTGGCACTCAGCTCCTTCTTCAGCCTCTCCAACTCCTCCAGCAGAGAGGACACCTGGTTGGCTTTGTTCTTGGCATCCTCCTCCACCCCGCGCAACCGGTTCAGCTCGCCGCGCATTCGCTCGCTCTCCACTGTGTAGGAACTCTCCAGGCCGACTAGCCTCTCGTTGACCAACCGGTTTTCCTTGCTCTGGGTGTACAGGATAAAAGTTAAGCTAAATAAAAACCCTCATAGAGAACAAAATAAATAAATAAATGAATAAATAAATAAATAACACGACAGGTCAACGTGTTACCTGCTCGTCGATCTTCCTCTGCAGCTGCATGATTTTGTTCTCCATGCCTTTGTTGAGCTTCTTAAAGTGTTCGACTGAGCGAGCCTCAATCTTCAGCTTCTTCAGCTCACGCTTGGCCCTCATCCTGCGGATGCAGCACTGCAGGTAGACGATGGCTTCCAGGCAGCGCTTGTACCAGCACCGGGCCAACCAGCCACGAATGTGCTTCTGAATGATTACCGCCTTATGCTCCCGCAACAGCTACAGCCACATACAAAGGCAGTGATAGAGAGGAAAAGAAATACGAGTACATTAAAGTGAATTTTAGAAAAATTACACTTCCTTCTGTCCACTGAAAACTGTGCAAACATAGAATAACAGAATATAATATTAAAAACAGGAGTGTTTTCATGACTCACCGCCTGATACTTCTGCCGGGCCATGTAAGCTCTGAGGATGGTTTGCATGGCCAGAGCGGCTGCCTGCTTCTGCTTGTAGCGTTTCCTCTCCACGTACATCCTCTGGTACTTCTGGATGATAGTGGCTGCCTGAGTGCGGCGCAAGAACTTGGCCAGGCTGAGGAGAAGCAAGAGTCAGGATTCAAATTCTGCACACCTCTAGTTTTTAGCTGGATAAAATGTTAAGTGCCACAGTTCTCACCAGCGGGCCTGGTATCCTCTGGTGAACCTTTGTATGGTAATGGCAGCACTGCGCTTGCGCAGGTACTTCTTGCGTGCCAACCAGCAGCGGATGGTTTTTTGGATGCGGATACAGGCGGCACGCAGCTTGTCTGCCCTCAGTTTCTCCAAGTAAGCCACCTGACCGGCTCTGAAGAAGATCTTAGTCTTGCCAAACTGATATTTATCCTGATCCTGAGGGACAAAAGAAGCAGTGATCAGAGGTGAAACGAACTCAGTCATGATTTAAAAGTTGTTTTAATCTGTTGTTTTATAACACAGAACTGTAAAATGAAGCAAGGGACCAACTATCTGACCTGCACTAATTTTTCCAGAACGTTCTTGCAGGTCAACTTTTTGTCAGCGAGGACGTCCTTCTGCTTCATCAGCACTCGGTAACGGCTGAAGAACTCCTGATACGTCCATCTGACAAACAAACACAGACGCTTACAATCTGATCCTTTCAATTTATCAAATTTTCCTCTGAAATACTTTAAACACCAAAAGCTGGAAAGATTCGAGTATTTGGAGTTTTGGACGGCGGACTCTTTGATCTAAGAAGTTATTTTGAATTTTTTTTTTTGCATTGAGCATCACATTGAGGGAGATGGTACTAAACTGTCTACATTTTCATATGTAAAACAATTTATTCAGTAGTGCTGGGTGTGTGACGTTGCTGTTCATTGTATAGTCGTCTCTTTACTTTAAAATGTATTTAATACACTATGTTTTGGTTTTGATTTGGCTTTTCAACCTTTATTATTACCTCTACACGTCTCCTGGATTTTCTGGGGAAAGTAAGAACTGTGCACATACTGGGGAAGCTCACGGTGAGATGAGCAGTGACAGCATTTTTGAGCCTCTTCACCGTGTCTATGTCTATTTAAGTGAGTTAATTCAGTACTCATCACTTCAGCTGATCCAACTGCTTGCACTGGCCTTCTGCTATGCAAATGTTATATTTCTTCTATATGAACACACATTAAATAATTAGACGTTTACAGTGTGAGCCAGTCACAGTGTTGCTGGGGTGCATCAGTACCTCGATGGGAAACCTGCAGCAGAGATCCGGATGGTTTCCAGGACGCCGCAGGCTCTGAGCTGCTGCACCGCACGTTTGGGATCAAACCTGCCGATATCGAATAACCACAGCCAATGTGAATCACGTATACACAGTTTTGTACAATAAAACACTGCATAAACACGCAGTGTTACTGGTGTCTAAAATGTAAACAGAGAACTTGAAAAAGAGATAAATCTTCCTACAAAAACAGCAGATTATAAAACAACGCTGAAACTCACGAGAAGGCCAACTTGAAGTCATTGGGTTTGATACAGCGTACGTAGTGAGGAGTGGTCGCGTTCAAAGTGTCCATCAGCTTTTGTAGAGAGTTACGAAACTACAAGAGAGGATCACCATCATCATCATGACCTAAATCCCTTTTGTAAAATTAAGATGAAAGTCTTTAAAGTTCATTGAGTCACAATTAACAGGCTTCAGATTTCCCAAAATAAACTCATAAGAAAGATAAAATACTGGCAACTGCTTGTGCTTCGCCTCCATCTCCTAGTAGATACGTCTATGATAACAACTTGAAACTCTTACGTCACCTCGTTCTGGAGTTATCGCATTCACAAACTTACGTGTCCACGCCTAATGCCCACAGACACCCACATAAAAACCACACAGAGTGTCTAAGTTACACAAGTCCAGCTAAGAGTGAGACAGGCACCTGACAGCCGACAGTCTTCTTGTGCTCTTTGCTGCTCGTGTCCCGGCTCTTGTCGGGTTTGATGCTGAGACGGGTGCGGCCCCCGGTTCCCTGGACCTGACCAGTGGGGCTGGTTGCCTTTTCCTCGTCCTGGAACAGCTCCACCAGCAGGTTAAACTAAAAACAACAGCCCACTCATAGTTACCAGCTGATAGCGACATGAATCCTAAACGATAAGATGCATCTCTGCTGCTGCCATATTGCTCAGGGATTCTGATTACTGGTTGTGATGTGGTTTTATAAACAATACCACGCTTTTCTGCTGCTTTTCAATGTCCCAGTGGAAATAATAAATAAATAAATAAATAAAAACACAGATAATAAAGGTTGAACATGTGAGAACTTATCTTACCGTCTGAAATCTTACTGTCCCCAATATGTTTAATTTAATATATCACAATATGCAATCCTTCTTTTTAGATGACTTAAAGTTCATAAACAAAGGCTTCTATCTAACATAAGCATTTGGGTCATTCTAATTTAGCAGTGTCCAATATTGTAAACGCACGTCTACTATTTAAAACAAACCAAACAGCCTCTGCCTTTGCCTCCATAGACAAACGTACTTTAGAAGGTCCAGCTGCCCCTGAGGAACACGGTGCCTGCAATGATGCATCATTCCTACATTTGTGCATGGCATCAGACACTGCAGATAATTCTGACTTACTGACATTTCATTTTGTTTCAGTAATTAGGCTTTAGTTCAACTCCTACAAATCACAAATGATTTTTTTTTATGCCGCCATGCGTTCTGATTTTTCTTACTTACCGTGCAGTGCATACTGGCTTACAAAGCAGGACAGCAGCTCTATTTTTGCGACACTGAAAACCATCACTATGAGCACTTACTGTAAACCGAAAAATGTTTGGACACTGTGTTTGCAAATCTCATAAACCCATATTTTACTAACAACAGAACATATCAAACGTATCAAGTGTTTAGATATCTGAGAGATTTTACTATATCGTGAAAAAACATTGGCTCATTTTGAATTTGATGGCAGCAACACGTCTATAAAAGGTTGGAAGTAGGGCTGCCACGATTTGTCGACTAGTCACGATTACGTCGACTATCAAAATCGTCGACGACTGATTTAATAGTCGACGCGTCGTTTGAAGCTTTGTAAGATCACAAAAGACGCAGGAATAAGTGGCAGGATTTAAGAGTGTAATAACGGACTGAAACAGAAGATGGCAGCATTGCATGTACAAGGATGTCAGCTACCGTTAAACCCCGAAGAAGAAGAAGCTGTGTCCCAGAATTCATAGCGCGGCCCAGCGCAGTTTCCAACAATGGCGGCAGCTGGTTAGTTTTAATGTTACTCTTATTATTCTTTCTGGGTCACAAAATAAACGTTTAACATATTTTCAGGCGAGAATGTAGCTGTGTAAACCTCAAATATCTGCTCAGTTTATCAGGACACCACATATTTTCAAAAGCGCTCCGACGTTTTCGGAGACATCTGTTACCCACTAGCTCGTTAGCGAGCCGGGGGCTAGGCTCACTAGCGCCGTGAGAACACCGGACTCCCCGCAAATCGTTTTCAAACCCACCGCCGTCTTTCGCTACTCAGGTTAAATATATATGAGTCACTTAGATAACTTAAAATGTTATTGTTTGGCTTTTTTTTTAGTATTTTATTTGTTCCTTAGTAAATCAGTTTGTCTGAGATTAAAGTTATAGTTTTTACACAGCTGAATAAATGTCAAGCAGACAACTGATTATCAGAAGTGTGAGATGCTCCAGAATATACTCCAGTGTCCTGTTATATTTTAGATAGCAAGGAGTTTATTAAACTTCACCGAAACAATCCGCAAATTTCATTAAAATTTAATAAACTATCATCTTGTCTTTATTTTTAGTTAGCACAGACCTTAAACACTTAAAGCTGTAAGCTAATGATAGTTATATAAGAGCAGATGCTGCTGGTGCAATAAGCTGTAGTTTTGCGTCCAATGGATGATGATCTGATTAGTCGACTAATCACAAAAATAATCGGTGACTAGTCGACTATCAAAATAATAGTTTGTGGCAGCCCTAGTTGGAAGCGGTGCAGCAAAAGGCCGTTAAGTAAAGTGGTGCTAAAAAGAAACAGCTGGAGGATAATAACAATCAGGTTAACTGGCATCAGATCAGCAACGCGGTTAGGTATTTAACAAAATGAGCATCTTAGAGAGGCAGTGATTCTCAGAAGTAAGAGCGGCCAAAGGCTCACCACTCTACAAAAAAATGCTTCTACAAATTCTGGAAGAATTTCAGAATAATGGTCCCCAACATAAGATACTGAATATCTCAACATCTACAGTACATAATATCAAGTAATTCAGAGAATCTGAAGAAATCACAAGGGACAAAGCCAGAAATATCAATACTGGATGCTTATGGCGGCACTGCATTAAAATCATGCATGATTCTCTCACGAAATCAATGCATGGGCTCGGGAACACATCCAGAAATCTGTCTGCGATATCCATAAAGCTCCATAATGCAAAGAAGGAGCTGTATGTGAACACGATCCATAAAGTCCACTGTCTTCTTTGGGCCGAAGCTAATTTGAAATGGGCTGAGGCAAAGTGGAAAACTGGTCTGCGGTCTGAACTAAAAAGGAGACGTGCCATCTTACTTATTCAGCACCCCCTGATAATATGAAGGTGCGGTACAGCCAGTGAAATTAGCAGCTTGCACATGTGGAAAGGCACCATCAGTGCTGAAAGGTTTATACACATTTTAGAGCAACATATGCTCCCATGCAGATGATATCTTTTTCAGGGAAGGCCTTGCATATTTTATGCTAAACCACATATTACAGTTATTACAACAGCATGGCTTCGTAGTAGAAGAGTCCTGGTGCTGAACTGGCCTGGCTGCAGTGCAGAGCTTTCACCAACTGAAAACACTTTGAGCATTATTAAGTGTAAAATACACCAAAGAAGACCCTGGACTCGCAGACGCTTACAGACCGTTGTGGTAAACTTTGTTTTTTTCTTATACTGGCACATTTGATATGTTTTGGCTGATTAAAAAATGGGTTTATGAGATTTGCAAATGATTACATTCACTTTTTATTTATGACTGTTTTTGGAATTGAACTTGTATGTTTTCAATTTACAAATGCAGTGTGGAGACATCAGAGTGAGTTAATTAATTAAAACTTCTACGGACAAAACAAAACAGCTCGAACGCAGTTTGAGAGTTTAAGTAGAAGAGCGAAAAGATTGGTTGATTTGTTAATAAGTTTTGTTAAATTCAGTCACAGTCAGAGTTGTTACAATGCTTTACAAACAAATGTAATTAAAAGGTTAAGTTTTGTCATATATGACAGTATGCAGTGGCCATATATGAGTGTACGGCATCATTATGCCATGAAATAATATCACAAACATGTCATGTTCCATATGACATGAAGGTTATATGAGAAGGATGCTGTGTTATGTGTCGCTGCAGTGCCATGCTGCTTCTAACTAGCATCATTAAGCAGGACAGCCACATCCACAAAGGCTTTACGTGCTGCTCGCTCTCAGATAAAAATACTTTCCTTCCTTCATCCCTTTATTTTCAATGTTGAATCCCCCCTTTTAGTGCTTTCCATGCAGCAAACAAAGGCATACACAAAACTCAAATCTCCTCAGTGCTGTTAGAGTGTATTAACTCACAGACAGAGACAAAGAAGGAGGAAAGTCAAAGGAAAAAGCTAAAGCTAAATGAAGAGCTACAGGCAGACTAGCGTTGTAAGAACGCTTGTGTTTACCTTCTGCTGGCAGTGAAGGTTGTCATGATGAGGACAGAACCAAACATACATGGACAACATATGGAGACACAATTACAAAAAACAAAAAAAAACCCACAATGAAAGGTTAAAAAGGAAAGCCAAATGTCAAAAAATCCTAAAGGTCAGTTTCTAAATCACGATCTTCCCCCATCCAAAGCAATCACACACAATTATGATTCAAATGAAAAGGAAAAGAAAACCAGGAAGACAAATGAAGCTGAAATGGATGGAAGGAACCGTGATTTAAAAAACAAACAAAACGAAAACATTTTCATTGACATCCAGCAGACATGCAGTATAAAACACATCTGTGGTTGAAAGGTGGCTGCATTCAGACCCAATTCCTGCAAAGACATCTCATTTGGGTTGCTTGGAAAATGAAAGTTTAAGAGATGACACCTTTTAAAAAAATTGCAAACAAATGTAACGTGAAACTGGCTTCCCCATCACAGTGAGAAAGAAGAAAAAGTGACGTTTTCCCAAACGCTGCTTATCTGATGCTGTGCGCACACGTTTCTCAACTGTTCTCAACCGTTTGTTGTAGAACAACATCCAATTTTTGAATTCATTAATTTTTTTTAATCAAAACTTTGTCAATACCGACAAAACAATAAAAATAGAGAGTAAGACACAGGCCATAATAATTTAGGAATTTATGCTTAAGAGTTGAAGAGCCTGAAATCTTCTGAAAGATTGGAGATTGCATTTCTGGATGAGAGACCTAAAGCAGAAATGCAGATTCTTCAGAGTCTTTATGATACTTTATCTGTTAATGCGTTAAACTACACAAACAGCTAGCAGCTAAATGTTTATGAATCACTTCAGTTTTACTGGCTGTTGAGGGCTGGTTTAAGAGCTGGTTTTAGACGCAGATACAGACAATATTACAGATGAATAGAAGGCTGTTCCTTAGTTAATTGCAATATTATAAATATGTATTACCGTATTATTCATATTAAGTATTAGCTCAGTAAAAACAAACACGCACACACAGAAACATTAAGAATGATGGGATAAGCTTGGCAGAGAACCTTAATTTGACTAAATCTCATTAAAAGGTAAACCCCAATTGCTTTAATGCCTCTGATTTCCATTGCAACTATAAGAATACACATCTGTGTGTGAGAGTGAAAAGGTCTTGTTAGATGTTAGAGCGGACTATATCTATATTTCAACCCTTACCCACTTCTGGCTTTGCTGAAAAGGTCTATAAAGGAACAGCCGAAGGTCATTGTGAGAATTTTAAACAAACACACTTCAATAAAGTCTGCGTGTGTGTGTGTGTGTGTGTGTGTGTGTGTGTAGCCAAAACAGCGAAGAGGATTTAAAGGCTTAGGCCCCTTTTAACCCAACAGGGTTTTACACAGTGATCTCCAGCCAAGACCAAAACACGCACACACACAAACACACACGTGACGTTAATTCAGCTGCGATCTAACTAACTTGGACTTGCAGCTATGTGTGTAGAAAAACTGGGTCTCTGAGTACTGCTGCATATATAAGGTTTTGTGATCTACTATAACATATACTTACATTTAACTGAAGTCCTTAACTCAGGTATAAAGTTGCAGAAAGGTCTTTCATGTGTCAAACTTGAATCTATCCTGCATTCAGGATAAATGTGTGGCACACATTTAGCTTTTTTGTGCCACATGCAAGTAAAAACCTACACAACTGAGAATTTATCTCTGCTAGTGTCACTATCCTCTTCACCAGTAGAGGGCGCTGTTCCCCGTATACTTTAAGTTGAACAGCATGTTTGGCCAATAAACAACTTTCTATTTTTTCCACACAGAGACCAGGTGGCACATCTCTGCAGGAGCAGCAGACGTACATGTCAGTGGATGCTTCACAGTTCTTGAAGTCCAATGTGTTTTAAAGGCTTACATTTGGCTGATTACATACAACAAAACATATTTTCATTGTTGGTGTTTGTGCGTCTCACCTTGCTGGCTTTCATCACATTGATTTGCTCTTCATTCACCGTGTCCTTGTTCTTTTCCAGGAAGCCGTCACACTGGTACTCCACCTGCCCAACGACACAGCAAAGCTTGTGTTACACTTAGGACGAGCGGGTGCCCCACTTTATGTGGCACTGCACAGCATTTCCATACTGAGAAAATGGTCCAGTTTACAAAACTCAGCACACATAGAGGACACCTTTAATGAACGGTTGTAAGGGAAGCAGGGAAGGCTGCATCATGGGTCAAGTGCAAGTCAGCAAGTCACAGTCTTTTACTGCTTAAGTGGCGCTCAACAGGGAAACTGAGCTATTCAGTTAATCATCATGAATGACACTAGCATCAATAAATAGAAATAGAACAAAAAAGCTATTAAAATGTACATGTGAGTGGGTGAAGCTGATGGAAAGACATTCTCAAAATTTTCAGCCTTTAATTATTTTTGCTTTAATAGATTTTTTCTATATATTATTGTTTTTGAATGCGGTGAGAATAATGACATGGAGTAACAGTGTACATGTGTGTCTGACAAGAAACGGGTAGCTCAAAAAAAGATATTAAAAGACACAGATGATTACCATAAGCTAAGAGTTTTATAATACAGGGAGCGAGGAGTATCTGGATACAATGATGTGCATTTGTCCTTTACATGCCAGAAATCAAACCTATAGTTTGCATTGTTTGTAATTTTGTCTACTGTTTAATCACTCGTGTCAACATCTCAAATCACTTGTCAGCATTAGTCTTGTGTTCCTCGTTGACTTACACAATGCACTAAGTTTATCAAATCAAATGTATTTGTATAGCACTGTTCAAACACAAGGCAATGCTTTACAGAGGGAAGAAAAGAGAAGGAGAGAGAAGGAAAAAAATCATGCAAGACATAAATGTACTGAAGAAGCACTCCAAACTTGTTCATTTTATTTTGGTTTGCTATGATTCTGGGAGCGACATAGGTGACCTCTTCCTGGTGACGCGAGAGTTCCACATGTTTTGTAAAGTATGTTTGAAGTGTAATGTCGTCGGAGATCATTTAGTGCTTAGTGAAAATTTTTTAAATCTGTCTTAGGAGACGCATAAAGTTTTTCTGTATATGCTTTAGAGAGGAATATTTTAATTTTTGTTGTTTTTTTTAAATGGTAATAGACTTTGTCTGGTCTGTTGAAAATGCGTTGTTCCACAATTATTCTGGCCTGATTTAAAAATGTAACCATTTTTTTAGAACCTCTTTTAGAAACTCCAGCTATACAGACTTATTCAAGCTCTATGATCATGTGGTGACACTGATATGTAGAGTTGTGTGTCATAATTATGGTAAGAGATTTTATAATATCTAATAATTATTATAAAATTATTTTATTTGTTGGATCTGTTCAGCCCGAGTTACTCCTGTAAGAACTTAAGCTATAGGATGTATTTTTCCTCTTGGTAATGAGTCAAACTGAACTACAGTGAAAGCACATTTCATCTAATACAAAAAGTATAAATATTGGAAATCCTTAGACTTATATGGCTCTAGGTATCCTAATATAACATCATTTGGTCTTTGAATCCGCTTTCTCAGTAACCTTATAGTGAAGCTGTAAAAACAGAAATGAAAATTAATGCTTTGTCACACAGCATCTCAGAGGACAAAAAAAAATTATTATTACACCACTACACGAACATGTCATTGCTAAAATGCTCATTTACGTTAGAGCACCGATAATTTTTTATTTATTTATTTTTTTAAATAGTCCATCTTCCTACCCTAAAAATACCTCACACGTGCAGTTAATCTGTTCCCTCATGCTGTTAAATCTTTTAAATCAACCTTTTTAAATGTACACAAACACTTATGATACAAAAAAAAAGAAAAAAGAAAAAGAAATGTAACAACCTAATATGTAACAGTGTGGAAACACAAAGCATACAGTCTGACAGACCCACCTTGTCTGCAAAATGCTGGATGATGAAGGCGCGGTTGGACATGCGAGGCTTCTCAAACAGGGAACAAGTCTTTAGGTGGGTGTTGTACAGCTTTTGAGCCCATGAGTCATCCGAACCTTTAGGCATCTGTTACAGAAAAAAAAGAAACCATGAATAATGCATTTTCATCTTTTCAGAAATTACAATGTTTATTTCAGTTGTTTGATTGAACTTTTTCTTGTCATTCATTGCATACTGACAAACATACGTCCTTGCCATAATGTGAGAAATGCGTTCCCACCTCAAATGTCAACAACCTGTAAAATGACCTTGCAGAGTTTGAGAGCGACAGAGAGATAAGCTCAACAGACACAGGACAAGAAACTAGAGCCTTTAATATCACAGCTGCCACAGCATTAACTAAAACAAAGCTCAATTCTGTTTATTTCATACACGCTCAATATTTCATTCCAGTCTTACTAACATGAATGAACATAAACTAAAAACAACCTCACGTCCGCCTCTTGTTTAGTTTCACAGTGAGAAAGAAGAAAAAGAGAGCTGTGGTTAATATTTAGCTTTGGGTTTCTCAGTTTTAGGTATTGGTGACTTTAGCCTTGTGTGTGGTGGGAGGCAATGACAAGCTGCAGGCTGACGTCAAAAAATGGAAAGCAGAATGTGGGTGTGAATGAAGAAACCCACAGGCCTCTGCTTAACATGCAGCACAGGCTCAGTTTACTTTATTTTGCTTGTTTATATTCATGAGAAAGTTTATGTAAGTAACTTATGTAATGTAATTCCTTTCTTTTTCTTTAAGATATGTAGTTGGAGAAAGTCGGTTCTTAAAAACTTTTGCATGAAGAGCAAACTGCTCAAATAGAAGACAAACGTGAAGAATGATGCAACCTAAGCAACAGAATCGCTGACCGTGATATAACTGATCTGAAATACACCGGTGAAGTAATCAATCGGTGTAGTAAACAAGATTGATCGCCTTGTAAAAATGAAACGCTCTGCTGGGAAAACTGCTGTTAAAGTAACATGTAGCACCAACCACAGCATTGCTGTATTAGGATGATGCACAAGCCAGTCCACAGAAACTGCTCGGGAACACAACAATTACCCTGTATTCACCCACGCAGTGCTAATCTAGAACCAGTGCCATGCATTTCTACATATAAAACACTGACACCTGTACAAACTAGCACCAGCATGGGACCACAGAATTGCTAGGTTCAGAGTTCAGTGGCTAAGGGAGGGATTATCATCAGACCTAGCCCACAGATTCAACTCCCATGATTTACTTCTCACAGAACTAGCAGGAACTCTACAAATCGAATTAGCTCGAACCTAAGAAACTGCAACCAAGTATTTCAATGTTGTGCCCGTTCTGCATACACTATTTGTCGGGTAAAATAAGACATACCCTGCACTCCTCGTCCAACAGGTCCAGGATGCCCATCTTAGCTTCTATGAGGTTGATGCACGGCTGATTGTCATAGAAGTCGATCAGAGTCCAGGGGATCTGCTCCTTCATGTACTCCTCCTGCTCCAGTTTGAACACATGCTGTGCAGACAGAAACACACAGTTAGGTATTTAACTTTATTAGTATTTACAACCTTTAAATATAAGGAGTGGCCTAACAAGAGTTATGCTGCTCTTTATAAATTATTTACATTGATTTTTTTCATGTAAATTGTCCATTATTTAGTTCTATTTTTAAACTCTGAGGTTTTTCATGGAATTTGCATATTTTGTTCAGAACCACCACTGACATGCTTTTGAAGTTTGTGAACTGCCACGTTTTGATTGAGGGCAGCTATTGATCGTTTTCTTTTTGCTGCTGCTTACCATGTTGAACTGTTGCTGCAGCTTCTCATTAGCGTAGTTGATACAGAACTGCTCAAAGCTGTTGATTTCAAATGTCTCAAACCTTGTGAAGAACAAGAGTGATGTTAATGACCTGAAACACACTTTTTCACTGCTGTGTTTTAATTTGATGAGCAAACTCAGACAAATCCAGCGAAAGAATGATGCTAAAAAGTTCAGACTGATTAGCTACCCCTTTGTAACTACTACATACTTTGAAAGTACTACACAGACATACCCGTAGATGTCGAGGACTCCGATGAAGGAGTGCTGTTTAACATTTGTCACCAGAGCCTTGTTGACGTGCTCCACAATCCAGTTGAAGAGCTTGGCGTAGATATGTTTGGACAGGGCATCACGGGCATTCGTGGCCTGCAGACGAGGGAGGGGCTTGATATACGTCTCTGTGGCCGTCTTCAGCTTCCTGTGGCACAGCCACTGGGACATATCCTGGTAGGTCACGCCCACCAGCTCGCAAAACGCCATCAGGTGACGGTTGTTGGGCTACATCAGAAAGAAGAAGTTTTTATCTCCACTATCCAACACAAAAGTGATCCATCTATGATGTGGCTCCACATCACAGATGGATATGATGTGGGGCCACTAAATGCATCTTTAGGGAGGAATAAGTGGGGAAAAAAGTGGCTTTTATTAAAAAATTCTAAAACAAAAGAACAAATAGATCCCAGTGGAATTAATCCAAACAACTAAAGCTGCAGCCTCATTTCTGCCTCTACCTATTTACTAATTTTAAAGTTTCTTAGCTTGTAAGCACGTGATAGGCTCATGAATACGCAAACTGTGAATACAAGGTACCTACAGGTATAAGCAAGCAAGCTTTTGAAAAACCCCTAAAATTGAAATTCAGAACAAACTGGCTGGCATTACCATGTTCAGAGTTCCTACCGGGGGATTTAAAGCACAAGTATGAAGGATTCTTCTGTTTTCAAGGCATTCTTTAAGGAATGACCTACATCATTAAGTTTGATCAGGGATGCAAAACTCATTTTACATCAAGGACCACATACAGTCCACTTTGATCTAAAGTGGAGCTGAACTGAGAAAGTCCCTCCTAATTACGACACTTATTTATGCAACAGCCCAGTGATACGCTCCCCCTTTTCTTTATGCAGTATGAAGAGTATCCTCACAGGAATAACGCTGCTGTCTGCATCTCTGTCCTTAATCTCCACATTTCCCAGATGAAGAATGGCAGCCAAAACCTGGAACAAACCCATCTGATAGGACTCATTAATACCTGCAGAGGACACACAAACACATCCCTAGGTTTTTACTTCCATTTTTTCCATACAGATTTCAACCTGCGTGTATTTTTTAGGTGTGTGAGTTACCCAGCAAGGAAAAAGCATTGCGTGTGGTGCAAAGCTCCTTGGTGTCATCCACTCCGTCGATAACGGGGCTGCGGCCCTGCCTCGTGTACAGGAAGTCATTTGCACTGCCTGAATAGAGACACAGAGGGGCAAACATGGAACAGTGAGTCTTACATTGTGCTACTTGGACACGTGTGCTACTAAAACCTCAGCCACTAACTAGGAAGGTGTGTATTACAATCATATGCTGCGACATTGTGTCCAGAATGAACTCAACGTGCAACCTTGCAACTAACCAGAGCTGCAATCCTGGTTTGCTGAACTGAAGGATCAAATAAAACAAGGACACAAAATTGTGGTCATCAAACGAATCTCATGGTCAGATTTCAGAAGATTTTCTACAGGCCCTACTACTTCTACTTTCTAAAGGCCCTGGTCTCTATTTAAGGTAATACGTCATATTCTGCTGAGCTGAAGTTTTCTGTTTTTGTTTCATTGTTATTAACAACTTATTCACTGTATCTTCCTGAGTTTAGGTAGAAATGATCATAATCTGTTTTTATTCTGTGACACTGACTCACTCAGAGTGATGCTGGGTGTTTGTTCACTGTCAGCTCAGGAGACTGATAACGTGGAAAACTCTCAGTTCTCAGAAATAAACAAAATCAAGAACGCTTCTTCTGCGTATGAGCCCAACTTTCTTACAATCGGTTTCTTTATACACACTTAACACCGAATTAGGGCATGGTCTGTTGCCTGGCAACAAGAGTCAGTGACATGACTGTGACAACCACTCCATTAACTGAGCCAGGAAGTTAGCAGGAGAGGAAAAGACAGCAGCTGTGTGTGTGTGTGTGTGTGTGTGTGTGTGTGTGTGTGTGTGTGTGTGTGTGTGTGTGTGTGTGTGTGTGTGTGTGTGTGTGTAGGAGATATAAAGAGTGCCAAGTGAGTGGCAGTAAATGGCGGTGCCAGCAGAGAGTGTGTGTCCATGACTAGGATGAGCAGGTGCAGGTCCACAGTGGGAGCGCTCTATAAGGGAGCCTGATGAACCAGAGAATCAATGAGTCACAGTTCAGTTCCTACAGCAGGAACTTTGCCTGATGCATCTAAGCTGATATCTTACTAATAATTTAGAGAAATCTCTGACTGTCCATCTATGTGTGTTTCACTCATCTCATCAACTGCTTGTCCAATCATACTAGTGCCAGACCATTACACTAACCTGAACCTATATATATCTAAACGAGATCTAGATCTTTGGGCAGGATGCTTTGCATTTGTCGTTTCATTTTTTTTTTAATGCTCTAAAACAAATAAAAATCAAGAAGCAATTTCAATCTAAGCCTAATTTTTATTGCTCATTACAAAGTCAGTGACTTCTTGAGCCAATGGATTTCACCGTTCTGGCATACTGTCTACAGCAAGAGTGACTCACAAGCCGAAAAAATAAATACACTTGGGAAAGGAAATTCCCCCTGTCTGTTAAGTCATTTTAATGAAATGCTTTCACTTTACAGCATAAAGTGAAAGTCTAACCATTATGGTCCATTTGTGGGTAAGTTTCATTCACAAAAATATAACAGACGAATGAGGAAGGAAGTTAGTTCTAGTTACAGCTGGTCTTTCGTAGCCTTAAACAAAAAACAAAAAACAAAAAAACCAATAACCTTTCAGCATATTGTAAATTATGCACTTGCCTCCTCTTGCCTCGTTTTTAAATGATGACTTTGTCTAACATAAGATCTTTTTTAGGCATCATCAGATTACGAGTAGAATGTAGTATATGTGCTGAAAGGGTCAGAGGAGGAAGTGAGTAGTCTGGGGTTGAATCCCAGCTGTGTACGCACGTGCTCATCTGGTGATCGGTGCTTAGAACAGGGAGCGTTTTTTTTGCCTCTCCTAGTTTTCTGTTCTGTAACATATTTACAGGAGTCCGATGCCACCACCAGCATGACTCATATTAGAGGTCTGGACTGCTTGTGAAATCTATTTGCACCTAAAATTGAAGTGAAAAAGAAAAAGATCACTCTTATGTGGCACTTAATGTTTTTTTTCATGAGGTCTAAACAAGTAACAACCTCTGGGGCTGGGAAAAAAAAAAAAATAGCACTGAAGCGTTGAAGTGCCATAAACTGCATTTCCTCTGCTTCCTCCACTTCAAGGCTGCTTTAAAAAGTGAGTTTATCCCCACAGACGTCCATATTAAATTGCCCCACATTAAAGCATTTAAAAACATGCTTACACCCTGGTACGAAAACAGTTGCGGTCTCTATGGATAGTCTCCCCCTTCAGCGAGCGATTTATTTATTTATTTATATTTAATTAAGAGGTGTGGCCACTTTGATTGGCAAATGTACAACACAAGACTCCTGTATCCCCTGGCTGTCTTCTAGGCCTCAGCTATGCTGGCTGAACAGTGGACTGGATTTCTCTTCTCTGTTTGTGCTATTGGTGCCTTTTGGGGCTTTTAATGGCACAGTCTGTCTAATAATACGGTTTGATTTGTGATACAGACCATCCAAGAAGTTTGTGTTTCCATTTTGGTGAAATTCTTGTTTTTTTAATACTCTATTGCTTGGCACTACTTTGCATATATTTATGTGACTGCATGCAGTTCATGCAGCTCATGAGCTTGCTAATCAAGCTAGCTAGCATTAGCTCGCAAATTAGCACTCTAACCTCTTGTCTAAATTAGGAACCTTCTGGCTTTAAAAACACTGACATTGTTAAATGCTGATGTTGAGGCTCCAAAATGTATAGTGCAAACCAACAGCTTTCTATACTTCTTGGCCTGTATACATCCATCTTTCATACAGGTCATTGGTTTGGCGCTCTCAAAATGAGTGAGACCATGATGGCAACTTTTATAAAGTCTGAACCTCTAAAGCATTTCATTAATAGCCATGTGTGTTCAGGTGCTGCAAATGAATTTAGCACTTCTACAGCTAGAGCTTTTGTATTTAATTCCATTGTCAGTATACAGTGGGGCAAAAAAGTATTTAGTCAGCCACCGATTGTGCAAGTTCCCCCACTTAAAATGATGACAGAGGTCAGTAATTTGCACCAGAGGTACACTTCAACTGTGAGAGACAGAATGTGAAAAAAAAATCCATGAATTCACATGGTAGGATTTGTAAAGAATTTATTCGTAAATCAGGGTGGAAAATAAGTATTTGGTCACCTCAAACAAGGAAAATCTCTGGCTCTCACAGACCTGTAACGTCTTCTGTGAGAAGCTTTTCTGTCCCCCACTCGTTACCTGTATGAATGGCACCTGTTTGAACTCATCATCTGTATAAAAGACACCTGTCCACAGCCTCAAACAGTCAGACTCCAAACGCCGCCATGGCCAAGACCAAAGAGCTTTCGAAGGACGCCAGGAAAAGTATTGTAGACCTGCACCAGACTGGGAAGAGTGAATCTACAATAGGCAAGCAGCTTGGTGTGAAAAAAATCAACTGTGGGAGCAATCATCAGAAAATGGAAGACATACAAGATCACTGATAATCTCCCTCGATCTGGGGCTCCACGCAAGATCTCATCCCGTGGGGTCAAAATGATCATGAGAACGGTGAGCAAAGATCCCAGAACCACACGGGGGGACCTGGTGAATGACCTGCAGAGAGCTGGGACCAAAGTAACAAAGGTCACCATCAGTAACACACTACAACGGCAGGGAATCAAATCCCGCAGTGCCAGACGTGTTCCGCTGCTGAAGCCAGTGCATGTCCAGGCCCGTCTGAAGTTTGCCAGAGAGCACATGGATGATACAGCAGAGGATTGGGAGAATGTCATGTGGTCAGATGAAACCAAAGTAGAACTTTTTGGTATAAACTCAACTCGTCGTGTTTGGAGGAAGAAGAATACTGAGTTGCATCCCAAGAACACCATACCTACTGTGAAGCATGGGGGTGGAAACATCATGCTATGGGGCTGTTTTTCTGCCAAGGGGACAGGACAACTGATCCGTGTTAAGGACAGAATGAATGGGGCCATGTATCCTGAGATTTTGAGCCAAAACCTCCTTCCATCAGTGAGAACTCTGAAGATGAAACGAGGCTGGGTCTTCCAACATGACAATGATCCAAAACACACCGCCCGGGCAACAAAGGAGTGGCTCCGTAAGAAGCATTTGAAAGTCCTGGAGTGGCCTAGCCAGTCTCCAGACCTCAACCCCATAGAAAATCTGTGGCGGGAGTTGAAAGTCCGTGTTGCTCGGCGACAGCCCCAAAACATCACTGCTCTCGAGAAGATCTGCATGGAGGAATGGGCCAAAATACCAGCTACTGTGTGTGCAAACCTGGTAAAGACCTATAGTAAACGTTTGACCTCTGTTATTGCCAACAAAGGTTATGTTACAAAGTATTGAGTTGTATTTTTGTTATTGACCAAATACTTATTTTACACCCTGATTTACGAATAAATTCTTTACAAATCCTACCATGTGGATTCATGGATTTTTTTTTCACATTCTGTCTCTCACAGTTGAAGTGTACCTCTGGTGCAAATTACTGACCTCTGTCATCATTTTAGGTGGGGGAACTTGCACAATCGGTGGCTGACTAAATACTTTTTTGCCCCACTGTACATATATGTATATACATATACGTGTGTGTGTGTGTGTAACGTGTATCTGACCGACTTACTTAGCTTCAGAGCCTTGAACTCAGGCAGATGTGCAGATGCACAAAGCTGATAGAAGATATGATAATTTCTCTCCTCGTCCGCCTGGAAGAAAGCAGAAAGATCATATCTGATTAATCAATAAGATACTATATTTCTTAATTAATAATGAATAAAATGGTTTAATATTAATGTTCACTAAATTAGTTAATCATCATTCAGATATGTTTTTTTTTTACTTTTTTACAGCTAACATTCATGGGACAAGAAAAATCAGCTGCTTGTTTCTTTACATACTGCTTTACAATTATACAGTTTGACAAATGTGAGGAACGTAATCACGTTTCTCTGCCAACATCCTCATTCCTCAGTAGCATTGTCTATAATAACTGTGTGTGTGTGTGTGTGTGTGTGTGTGTGCGCGCGCGCATGTGAGAGAGAGGGAAAGTGAGTGAGTGAGATAGAGAGAGAGAAAATGTTTCTTTTTCCAGGCAATAAATGTCCTTGTTCTTTTATCATCTAGATGCCACCCTACAGGTTTCTCCAGTAAGAAAACACACCCACTAAATATATAAGAAAGAAAGATAACAGCTTATATAAGAGAAAAACTCTATTTATAGAATATTTAAAGACAGTATTCAGTAAACTTTTATGAGGTATTATGAAGTATTTCCCTGAATGTGCCCATAAAAATGAAATGAAATCCTTATTTGAAATGAGCTGGCCAATCTCTAGTCCAGGATCATCTGCTCGGGTATGTTGAGACAGGTTCCAGTATGGCTGCTATTTTGAATTTTGTGAAAAGTGGTCTGGAAGTTTAATTCAGACCACTTACACTGTGTGCACTGTGATTTTGCCATGAACATCAAACTTACAAAGCTTACATACACAACAAAAGTCAACTTCACACAAAACTGATTTGACTTTTGTGCGCAAGGTCACTGCTCATCTGATCGGACTCCACAGTTTCCAAACCCAGTGGTCAGCCAGCCCAGACAAAGAGATGGAAGGAATAGGAAAGGAGGAAAGGAGTGCCGTGCTGTCACCCAGTGTGACAGATGAGCAGTAAAGGGACGGGTTTACTTGGTTTCCTTTGTCTTTGTGAAGGAGGAAATGATTGTTGCATACCTATTCTGTACTTACAGGGCAAGTTTTTCATGATCCCCACTAATGATGTTACGTAGCACAAGCTGCTGAGGAGTGACTGCATTACAAAGAGTACCATCCTCCTGTGTAACAGCATTTCACAGTCTACCCATTGTATCACTACAGCAGGGTTAATGTTACATAAGCTGTAGGATCAATGATTGAGACTTTACTACTCAAGTGATGATATTATTAAAATCCTTCCAGTGAGTTTTTTTGAAGGGCCTGACTTTTTTACTGCCAGTGCAGTTTTCTTATGAATGACCTGAAGAATGTTGCTGTAACTCTAGCAGGGCAACAGCTTTCATTATAATGCTGTAAAGGCCGACAACAAGCTTTTCCCCAAAGCACCCCTAATATTAAGGAAGCAAGCTAACGACAAGATGCTCACGCAGAACAAAGCAAAAGTGATGCTCAAAAACATTCAGGAAATTCAGAGTAGAAACTGAAAATGTCTAAAGGTTAACTTTTGAGCATTAATTTGTGACTGCTGAAAAAAAACGTAATGAGGGAACGAATCAGTACACAGAACAACAAACACAGCATAGGCTTATCTTGTGCACTCACCTGAAATACCACTCGCGATTTCTCCAGCAGATATGTTCTCATGTTGGCACCGATGATACGGTAACGGTTGTCAAAGCCGATCTCGATGTATTTCCCAAAGCGACTGCTGTTGTCATTTCTGGTGGTCTTTGCATTTCCGATGGCCTGGGTAAGAGAAGACAGACACAACCAACAATCATCACAAAGTGCGTCTTTAGGAGAGGCTATGCAGATAACCACAACTGGTCCGCGCACTGTAAATGCAAAGAGTCTGTGCATTTGGATAGTGGAAGAACCCCAATCATGTTAAGAGTGCTCAGAGTTTGACTGGGTAGATATTAGAGCAGCAAGGAAACACAAGAAAAGAAAATATACAGCAGAGTGAACGGTCATTTTTACTGTGGTTAAAACAGGAAAAAACACATTTATCTTACAACCTGGAGAACCCAGTACTAGATGCAAAGTATACCTGTTATAAAACTGCATCCTCCACCACTTTTGATGGTTCCTAAGCGCAGCATCATTACTAAAGAGGCCAGTAAGTACAGTAAGGGCTGAATGTTGATCCCTGATTAATTATGTATTGCAACATATTTGTGATCATCGGAAAGGAGGTACTATCTAGCAATTTCCACAAAAAGCTGACAACTGGTGTATTATTATTATCATCATCATCATCTCCTATGTGTCTCTTGTTGACAGCTTCTTTCAGGTTTTCATTTTGGCCTCACAGTTCTGCAGATGACTCCATTTAGATGACATTCTGGTGAAAATATGTACATTAAAAAATAGTGTTAGGCTTAAAAGGCTAAATGACACTTTTCTACAGTTGTGCACATATAACTTCAAAAAAAGCAACTGCTGTCATGTCAAGTAAGTTAAGGTACAAAGTAATGTCTGAAGCTGGAAAACAACATTACTGTGACAGTGTCAGCGAACTGATCCGTCTGAATGTTACAGAGTTGATGATCTGATTTGCGTCTTCTGATTGGTGGTGTTGTGCACATATAGCTTTTTTTGTGATGAACAGAAGTGACTTTGAGAGGTTTCTGCCAGGAAACCATGTTTTGGAGGAGGCTCAGCGTGGGATTTAGCACACACATTTTCTAGGTTTTCACAGAGGCGGCTTTTAGAGGCTCTTGCATCTAAACTCTTCTTTTGACTGATATTGCTTTTCTTTTTTTACCCCATAACGCCACAATGAGTTGTACCAGGTGTTAATCAGTAGGCAAGTTTTGTTACCTTCTGATAGGAAACAGCTAAGCTGGCTCTATCTGACTGCTGGCGACGTCAGTTCTCTCATCCTAAAGGCTGATGTACAACTTGCACATAAAGACCAAAGTTTCTGTATTATGTTCATCTTACTCTAAAACCAAAACAGTACATCAAGCTCTCAATCAGCCATATTGATGTAAATAGACCATTGAAGCTGCCCAGAGACAAAACAAAGTTAAGAACCAGCTCCGTTAAATGTAGTTAAATTGTGGGTTCTTGTTGAATTAAGGTCAAACACAGTCTTTCACTGCAGACAGAGGGACTTTTATCAGAGCAGGTATTCCAATTTCTGCCTGCATCAGCCAACACGTACAAACACCTCGTTCAAACACTCTCCCTCTGTCACGAACACAAACAAACACACACAGGTTCTGTGAAATCGATGCAACAATCTACTCTGCATCCAGGCTGAAGTGACATCACCGCAGCAAAAGAAGAAAGCTCTCTATTCATTCTGTCAGCCTGTTCCTGATTGGCTGAAGGGGAGAGCAGCAGTGGTCGAGGAGAGTGATGTTAGCAGACGGGTAGGAAAGAACGGATAAGGTGGGGGAAGGGGTGGGTTAAAGGAGTGGCATAAGGGGCAGAAAAGAGCTCTGCAACCTTCCTGGACTTATGAGTCCATGGGAACAAATACACAAACAAGCACACTTAAGGATAAAACCTGTGTTATCACAGCACAGAGCAGCCTGAGGCCACAGTCTGGTGAAGAAACAGAACAAAATAGTGTGTAAAGACGAGTAAGAATGAAAGCAAGGAAGAGGAGAGGCCCTTTTCCACCACAATTTCCACAAGAGGATTTTTCTTTTTTGCGTGACCACAGTGAAAACCTCCCTGACAGGACTTCTGTCTAAGACTTTTTTCAGGGGAGAAAGACGTACCTACTCTGGGAAGTAGCCCAGAAAAACGTTTGGGTGAGGCTTAAAGCTGAAGACAACCATTTAAATTACAAACAGATGAAAAGTAAAAATTGAAATTGGAAAATGATGGCAGCTTTAAACTTACTGTTCAAAGAGAGTGAAAGAGAATGGGACAACAAACGGCTGTGGGTGACCGAGGAAGAAAGTGAATGAACAGTATATAAGAAGTAGTAAATAAGAGAAATAAAACACTATTTTTGTGATTCATATAAAATAGATACAAATCACTAATAAATACACCATATTCATATCTCCACATATACCCAAGGGAAGGTGCTTTTTCTAAATGAAGAGAAGGCTTCTTCCAGTCTGCTGTCAATGCTTGATGTGTGTAAGTGCGGCCATCGCACTGCCCTGAAGCTCTGATGCAGACTGAAAAGAAAAGACAGACGCAGACAGCCGAGATACAACCTGGCTGTTACGTGCGTAAAAACAGCTGTCAGGACTAATTTGCCTAAGCTTCACAGGTCTTCACTGCAGTAGAAACACAGACAGACAACAACAATCTGAAGGAAAATTTTAATCCCTGAAAAAAAAAAGTTTTGGAGAGACAAAGATTCGAATAATCTAAACAGGAAAATTCTTGTTATGAAGGGGAAGGAACCTGGCTTCCAACGATAAACTTAAACTTTGTAAGACTGTAGTGCCGAAGCACAACGTGTGTTTTGATCTGTAATTTTAAGTATACAGGTTAGACAAGGTCACGTTTAAGTTATTTAACAAAGTCTAAGTAGTTCTTCTTCCCCATCATCTCCAAGTGCTTGCTCCCAAAGGATCATCTGATCATGGTGTTTATTTTCTTACTATTACAAAGTCCTCACCTTACAAGGTAAAATGCTGTCAAATGACTGGTGTTGTGAACCACCACTATATAAACAAAAGTGAATTTAATTAAATAGAAAACAGGTGAACGATCAGGATCGAGTCCTCACCTCCATGATGGGGTTGGAAGCCAAGACTTTCTCCTCCACATTGGCCTCACTGGCTGAGCCGCTGACCGTAGCAAAGTATCTCATGGCGTATTTGGCTGACACCGTCTTTCCTGCACCAGACTCCCCGCTTACAATAATCGACTGGTTCCTCTCATCCCTGAAATTAAAAAACGAAACAAAACAGCCTTTATAGTTCATGCATAACGATGCTGATAAAGTCCAGTTTGTAGATTACAATATAGTGTTGGGATCATATGGATGTTTTTTTTATGTCACTAAATGAAACGATAACACAGGTCTGCAACCAAATAACTGCACAGGATTTTTTGACTGTTTCAGATTTTTACTCACTGAAACCAGGAAATATTTTTTAAATTCCATTTTTCCAGGTTTTCTTGCAAAACTCATATTTTTAGTTTAATTAAGCATACAATTTCCCTTTTTAAAACTGAAATCGGGTATCTTATACTTGAGTCAAAAAAAACCATATCCAATAATGATTTCTCACATTAATTTAATATTTCTAAGAGCAAGAATCAAGTGAAATGAAGCAAAAGTGTGTTCAGAGGAGCATCGAAGAGAAGAAGAAAAGGTTTCACAGACAAAAATAGTAAATGTAGTGTTAAACATAATCACAAAGGAATCGGTTTTTTACTTCTTTGTTCAATTATAAGAAAAATTATGCATAGTTAATTGTAATAAAATACATGACGGAGGGAAATGGAGATCATTTTTGGATTCAGCACCCTAAAAATCATCAAATTTACCAAAAATATCCCATGCAGCCGATTTCTTTTTTGCAGACCAGTGTAATTAAGAGAATGGAAACAGTTGGATGCAAATTGCTACAGCTTTCAGTCCAAATTAAATATAGTTTCATAATTAAAAGTGTGACACACACAATTTCAGGAGCCAGATAGGAAGTGTCACATGCTATCATCATCAATACTTTTTCAGCCTGCTGACAGAACAAGCATCGCAGGTCTGTACACTTTAATGTATCTGCAGGTCACTTTCCTTGTTCTATGCATGAGACATAATCCTTACATACTGCTACTTCCTAAGGCATCACCTTTCTTCTGTAGTTCCAGTTGCAGATCCTACTCCACCTCCAGCCACCGTTTATCCTTTTTGCAGGCTTTAAGGGAAGTTTAATTTCACTCTGATTTGAGTTTACATACATTTAGTTTCACTTCAATCAGTCTCAAACATATTGCATCAGTTAGGACTCTGAAGCTTTGTGCAAATTTCACTTGAATAAGAACTTGAATAGAATACTAACCTACAGACCTACCCTAGTTTACAATAAACATATGATTATTTAATGATTATAATATAAAGAGGATTGCAACCATGAGATAGTGGACATGTTTGTGGCTGCTGCCTCTGGCCCTCCTTCACTGCCCTGTGGTCTGAGTAAACTTAGTGCAACATCCTGTCAATATTCAATGTGTTAATGATATGAGCCCCCACCAGGAGAGTGCAAAGATCTACTAGTTGGCTCCTGCAGAGAGTCTTTGTGGGCTACGCATGTGATTAAAATAAGAGAGGGAGAGTCAGTGAGACCACCGTGTGGCTATTTCTGGCTCCGCTTTGACCTACAAACTCTAATGAGAGAGGCAGGGCTGAGCAACAGGGAGACTTCAACCAAGCCTGCTCAGGTAACACACACATGCTCAGACAAACCTGGCCATCTGCTTGTAAGCTTCCTCTGCTACAGCGAAGATATGTGGGTCCATGTCGCCCATGTTCTGACCGCTGTAGGCGTTGATGATATCTGTTCCATAGATGGGCAGCGTCTCGTACGGGTTAATGGCCACAAGCACGATTCCTACGACGCGAGGAGAAAAAAACGGAAGAATGAGCTGAACAGCAGCAAGACCACATAAAGAGGAATTATGCTGTTATGATGATAAATGATTAATATAGTTAATTATCTTTTTATCTCATGTGAACTGAATTTGTCTTACAATAATAGCAAACATGTCTTGAGTTTATCAGTGAGGATAATGGAATAAAGTAGCTAAAATGCTGAAGGCAGACAAAGCTTGTTTATTTAAATTAATAAATCTTCCATTATTAAGGTGATTAAAATAAGCTGAGAAATAAAGCTTATATTACTTTCAGCTTTAAAAAGGAACTCTGTGACAATTCAATATTTATCCCTTCAATGACACCATTACTTAACGCTGTAATTTTACACTTGCAAACATACAGTCTGGCATCTTTGATAGACGAAGCACCTGCTTACCGCAGTAAGTGTAGATAAGCTTCGAGTCGATGAAGCGGACTTTGAGGTTGTGCAGCACTGCTGGCTCGTGGAGGTAGCTGAGCGCTGTGAGGTCATTCTCGCCCACCAAAATGTCAGGATTTCGCAGGTAAGGCAGGTTTTTTGTCTTAGGGTCCAGCTTGTGCTCAATGTTCTGAGGACGACCACAAGAACAGGACTTAATCAAGAAACAGCACATTATTCAAAATATGGCACAACAAGGTATTCGTTTTATTAAAAGATGGTGGATTGGTACAAAATCCTGGGTTAAAATATTAAAATGAGACTTTAGATTTGTTAGAACTTGCAGAAAAACATTCACCCATCTTCTACTCGTCACCAAGGTCCAGGTCACAGGGGCAGTGATGCCCAAACCTACTTCTCTCCAGCTACCATTTCCACCTGTTATGGAGGGATACCGCAATGTTTCCAGCCCAGCAGAGCTGCAACATCCCTCCAGTGTGTCCTGGGTCTGCCCAGAGGTCTCCTCCCGGTTGGACATGACCCAAACAACTCACCCGGGAGGAATCCTAGTCAGATGCCTGAACCACTTCGACTGGCTTCTTTTGATGTGGAGGTATGTCAGCTCTACCCTGTCTCACCAATGACTCGTCAAAAGCTTGTCATCCAAACTCTGAGTCCAGACAACCTCATTTGGACGTCTGGGTTCAGTTAAAAAAACGAAGACACAAATATTCGACTAGGACTAAAAAAAAATGAAGGGACTCGAGCGATATAAGCTATATTACAAGATTTACAGCACTTAAATGTGCTGTTTCTAACCATAATAAGGAACTACCAGCCAAGTAGATTATTTGGTTCTATACAATACAATGTCACCATTTAGCTCACTATGCCCACTGATCAAATGATGAGAAGAGAACATGTTTTTTAACCCACTGCTAAAAGGAGAAAAGATCTGCTTTGCTAACATCAAACTAAATTAAGTCCTGCAATAAAATCCACTCAGAGATTTTATCTTTAAACTGTTTCCATGCTGCTGTTTTCTGTCTGGGGCTTTCTGAAGAGATCAGATCATTTATATAACCACTAACAGAGGTCCACGCTAACAGGGTATTTGAACACTATTTCATATCCACGTTCTCAGAAATGTCATGAGACAGGCTACTGATTTTCCACCGCTCAAAGCTTGAGAGTATAAATGTTGTTTTCATTTTCGCTCCCCTCTTTCTGTGTGAAAGCTTCTGCTGCTCGCTCCTTTTATATCTTTGTGAGATGGATGTACTGTATTTCAGATACTTGTCTGATAAGGATATTTGGTTCGGTAAGAGGAAATCTTCAGGAAAACAATATCAAGATTGAGACAGATTAGCTACATCTTTCACAGAATAATTGAGTTATTATGATCAGCAGAGGTCATCTAACACACATGAGCATATTGCACCAAAGCTGTATAACTATTCAATTTAATCAAAATCAGAATTCTTATCATTTTGCATATTTTAATTGCTTTTTGGAAGAAAAAAAAAATTAGTTTCGGTTTGAGTGGATTTGCTCATTTAATTTTTTGGGTTTTTTTTGAAAATGCTTTGTTTTAGTGTCGACTTTAGTCTTGTTAATTAGTTAATTTGGAGGGTATACGGAGGGTAGGTGACTCAAAAACAACAACATCTGCCTCGTCAGACAGAAGACGTCTTCTATACATTTATCTTATTTTTATATTTTTTCTAAGTCTGGTTTTGAATTGAGTTATTTCATTTTACTGAAAGAGGTTTTTGCACCTATTTTCATTTTTAATTTATTTTTACTCAGCTATAGTAACCTTGGCTAACCTGGATTGTTACTACTTTTATGGCAGCGTAAAGCCCAGGGATAGGTAGTTTGTGACATTTAGCTTGAACAAAAAGGAAAAAACCTCATGAACCTCCCTCCATCTGACCTTTACTGACACCCAAAATCTGTTGATTGTTCTTTGGCACTTTTCAACAAATTAAATTTTAAATGTTTGAAGTTTTAGCGATATTAAGCAGCTGAGAAGCTAAACAGAACAAAACCTTTATCCTATTCTTCATGCCCATCATAAAAACAACAAATTTTGGAGCATCTTTTGGATGAATGATGCTTCATCTCCACAGACTTGGAGAATCGATACTAAGATGTGTTGAAGCTGTTCTGATAGGAAGCAGAGGCTCAACACACTCGAGACACTTTATGTTGGTGTTTCTTTCGATTTGTTAATAGTCTGTGTTTTTAAATATGACTGCATAAATCTTAAATCACTACGGGCAATATAGTAAATGGTTCAGCCACTATCAGGCATTCATTTAAATGAGTGCCTCATGGTAAGGAATAGCTTCATGCTGGTAGCTGTTTTTATTCTAAGCCAACAAATTAAATGTACTGAGATACATTAAAAATGCTCCACGGGGCATCTTTGCTTCTGCTACATCTCATTAGTGGTTATTGGTTTTATCATTAGCGCTCTCCATAAAGGAATCCTGCAGAGAGACAGAAAAACCAAGAGAAAGAAGAGGGGGGGAAAAACAAAGAGGAAGAGGCTGTTTCTTCCCCCACCCTGCTCCTCTTCTTATCATCCTCACCCTTCCATCTTCCAGCATGAGCTGCAGGGAGACATCTCCACTTTTGTAGTCCTTGGTGAGCTCAGCAGACTTCCACACCTCCTCTACATCAGGTATCCAAACCCGAGCACACTGAGACACAGAAAAACACACACAAAAAACAAAAACAGATAAAGTTAGAAACCAGACATGTTATTTCACATCAGGTACACAATAAAGTGCTTTAATACTTGCATAAAAACTGCAGAGATGCTGCTGCGTTTATAGTATTAAACACAGGACCGTTTCTATGGACATCCAAATTTCTATCGTTTTCCCAGCCATGATTTTTAAATGAAATTATCCATCCATCCATCTATCACAGGGTCGCCGGGGGGTGCTGGAGCCTATCCCAGCTATTGTAGGGCAAGAGGTGGGGTACACCCTGGACAGGTGGCCTGTCTGTCACAGGGCTAACACAGAGAGACAGACAACTATTTACACTCACATTCATACCTATGGGCCATTTCTATGTGTAATTTAAAAAGAAACAAACAAACAAAAACAACCCATGCTTTCTGCCCTTTTTACAAAATAAGGTTTTTTCTCCTCCCTGGAAGTTATACACATATAACCATCTTCGCTGTTGCAGAATTCTTCCATAAATTTGAACTCCCGATTCACTGAGTGACATATCTCCCCTTTTCTCACATCTCTGGATAAACCCACTCCACCTGATGCTCCATGCCAACACAAATCACTTAGGTTTCCTTCTGCTCAATTCAAATGGAGGAGGACAACAGGACAGTTTTACTAAAACGCCTCCTTTTTAATATATCCAATATATCCTTTTAATATCCGTGACCTCAGAGAAAACACTGGGTTCTGTGTTTCACAGTCATGAGAACTCAGCTCCTAATGGTCAGTTAAGTTATAGAAACAAACAACTGAACAAACACTAGCTTATACTGACTAAAGAAAGCAGCAGTGGATCTTGCATGATAATAATTTCAAACCCACAAACACACAGGCATCACCAGAAAAGTGTTTCAGGCCTTACATACATGTGACCGGAGGCAATCAGCTGATCACAGAAATGTGAGAATACAGTGATGGACGCTGCCGGTCACATGGCTGAAGAGACTAGCTTATAAATGGTGACGCATGCCCACACTTATGCAAGGAAGCCCAACTGTACAGGAGTCAGCTGGAGAACCATGCAGCATATTTAACATTACAAAAGGGGAAAAATGAACAGGAATAACTTTTAATACAGAAATATTAAAAGTGCCAATTTTTTCCAGAGCATCTAATGAGCACATGACGATAAAAATCCTTGTTGAACTTTCAGGAACGCTCTCAGGCCTAAAGGATTTTTTTTAACCTTCATTACGTAAACTGCTCATGACGATTTCACAGAAGCAAAAGACAAAGACCTCACTGTAGAGGAGCATAACGGGAGAATAAGTGGTTAATTTTGTCTGCTGCTTCACTACCGATCATCTGAATCATGACCTCATAGTCACACAAATCCTCATGAACCCTCCCTTCATAGCAGAGGTGGGACCAAGTCATTGTTTTGCAAGTCTCAAGTAAGTCTCAAGTCTTTATCCTCAAGTCTCAAGTCAAGTCTCAAGTAATGTCAGGCAAGTCAGAGTCGAGTCTCAAGTCACTGGTGTAAAAGTCCGAGTCAAGTCACAAGTCTGAAATTTTGAATTTCAAGTCCTTTCGAGTCTTTAAAAAAAACGAAAAAAGGATGTTGCAGTTATGCTAAATGTAAATATTAGACCATGTAATTTTTAAATCTGTGTTTTTCTCAACACATGACAAAATAGTGAACTTAGAAAATGTACACAAATTGTGAAATTGCACCTCTTTAAAATGCAGCTCAATTAAACCTAGCTCCAAGAATAATTTTCACCGACAGTTCTGAGATAAGCTGCATGTTATTCTTGGATGCGCTTGTAGGACCGGCTTTAAAATCGCATGACAAAAATATCATACATATTAAAAAAAACTGTATCACCAACGTAGCCTGGACAACATTTGCTAGTTAGATGAAGTCAGCTATCTCATCGTAGCATATTTATGTGCATATTTATAATCATACGGTTCTTGGAGTGAGTGCATACACTCATGAAGTTTAGTAACTTCAGGTCACTGCAACAAGCCCAGGTACAGTTTACCGACGGATGGGTGCAGGACCTTGAAATGCACCGTGTAGAACGAAAGACCATCGTACGTATCATAAGTTTACCAGTCTCACAAATCGTCGTCATGAATACACATTCGTTAACCGTTTATTAATAGGACCTTTGAGCTCAACGGTAATTAATTAGTAGTGGAAATAATTTCTGGTACGCATTACAGAAATGTAGCAGTGACAATAATATTGTATGCTGTAACCGTACTGGGCAATTAGTGATACAAAACAACTGTTGAATAAAAGTATGTTTTTGTCAATGTACCATAATAACAGAAGCGAAACACAATATTGTGTCAGGACAATTCACTATTTATGCACAATAAACAAAGGAGCATAGCGCGACAATTTCTGTTCAGCGCCAGACTTGCTTGTAACCTATATCACCAATTATGTTATGAAAATGACGCATTAACTACAACAGAAGACTGACCTTTGTGGGAATGCTTGGAGCAGACTAACCTGTGAGCTGGAGTGTTCTGGGACGTTATATTTGGTCTTTGAATGGCTGCGATCCAGGCCATCCGTCGCCTCTTTGTTACTTCGGAAACATGGCTCGAACAATTTCTCTTAAACGTCGTAATCCGATAACAACCGATTTCTTTACCCGTCGGCTTCCCGTGGCTGTCATGTGACTGGCTATTGCAGTTAATAATACAACAGCTTCTTGCCATTTTTTGTGTTTCTTTTTATCGCTGTATAACTGATTTCAATTAAAAGCCTGCGTGCACTAGTACCTCTTGCCACGAGTTCCCAGAATCCTTTGTGGTTCTACCCCAGAATGACATCACATTTTCAATCTCTATATGCATGTTACATTTTATATTTGGGGTGAAATATCAAGTCTTTTCAAGTAAACCAGTTCAAGTCCAATTCAAGTCCCAGGTCATTGGTGTAAAAGTCTAAGTCAAGTCACAAGTCTTACAACATTTTTTCAAGTCAAGTCTAAAGTCATAAAATTAATGACTCGAGTCTGACTCGAGTCCAAGTCATGTGACTCGAGTCCACACCTCTCCTTCATAGTGCATGAGAGTGGTGGGGGTGAAATGGCAGCTTTAGCAGAGAAACTGTTGAGTCTTAATATTTTAGAGCCTTGTGAACCAATTAGGGGTTTTTTCACCTGTAAAAAAGTGCTGATTCTCATTCCAGCCCCGTCACAATTGTCTGCAAACCACCTCAGGTGCACTGGTAAGTTTTGGTAAAGACAGAGCTGACTGTGAAAACAAAACTATTGGTTTATCGGTCGATCCAAGTCCTCCCCTCATACCCCATGGTCCCAAGCTTGGGTAGTGACCAAAAGAATGAGATTGCCAGGGAGAGGGAGCCTGCCATCGCTGCTGAGAATGCTGCCCCATGGCCCAGACACAGAAAGGGATAGATGATGGATGGAAGCTCTATCAAGTCCTCAGGTTATGCACATTATTCCTATCTCTCTCTCTTTTGGTGCAGAAACACTAAACACTGTGACCTGTATATTTAGGCTATGTATAGTGTGGCACTTAAGAATAATGAGAATGGCACTTAGAAATGAGCGAGCATCTTTGTAAGTTAGAGGATGAAGAAAATTTGAAAAAAAGAAAAAGAAAAAGATATGCATGGAACACAGTAAATAGGGAATATTTAAGGTGTGTAAAAATAGGATACTATCACATTAAAACGAATAGAGTTGTGTTCCCAAGAGGTTAAAAACTAAAACTCTTAAAAGTCAACTCTTCCATTGAAGCAGTGTTGTTACCCAAACTGCCAGGTTTTGGCATCCATATAAAAGGGAATCAGTGCAGGATTTTTAAAGGCCTGCAAATGACCATTTAAAGTCTGCAAAATGCACAACAGCTACTTCTACAGTAGCCTTCTACAGCCTTATAGTCCCCGTGTTGTGACATTTTAAAGTTGGATATCTTTTGCATTTCTGTACTGCAATTACTCACCAGCACCTACTTTATAGCAATACCAGCATGTCTTAGATAAGCCAGTACTAGCTGATAAATCTACAAATATGAGCTAATTTATGTATCACACAATAAGTGTTATGTTTGTTGTATTCAGTATGTTTGAAGACAATGAGAGACGGAGAAACTGCACATCTATGCGTCTGTGCCGAGTTACACATGAAACAGCAGCTAAAAGGAAGAAGCTCTCACACGCCACCCAAATGATCAAACCACAGGATTCAACCACATTACTGTCTGACACCGATGCTCGCTATCATCTGCAGCATCAAACATCCTGCCTTATCTCTCATAAGAGACACTTTATTTGAATTCCAGTGGATTTACAGTAATTTTATTCAAAATTAAATAAATAGATAACTCTCTACAAGAGAACAGAACAATTTTAGTAAAAGTGACATTCTTTTGGGATGGCTGCTGAGATCATTTTTAGAGAGGCTGCTGGTAAATTCTGCTACGTCGCTTCAGATGAGCCACTTTTAATGTTCATTACTGGAAAAAAATCAGACATGATCAAATGCATGTTTTCTTAAATGAAAGCATGAAATAGAGCAACATTCATCGACATGCCAATGGCCCCTACCAAGCTTTCTCCAGACATTTTGATCCAGTTTATTTACACAATCACAACAACAGTGGCCTCAAAACCTTTATACTGCAAGGTAAAGACTATAAAAAGAAACCTCTGGCTCACGGAGAGGCAACCATCTGCCTAAGACAAGTATAAACACCACTCTGCAAGGCAAAAACTTATCAAACAGCATGTTTGACTGAGCGGCACAAAACTCCTAAAACAAGAAAGAAGGTAGATTTAAATGAAACGTCCTTTTTAAGCTTTTACTCATGAAGGTTTAGGTTCTTTTCATGTTTATATTGGTGTTTTCTCTCCGTTTAGTCTTCTCAAAGCAGCACAGGCTGTACAATCATGTTAAAGATTGTGATCTTAATATTACAGGTCAGGTTATTGGCATAGCTGCTGGAAAACTGGCCTTACTCTACCA